GTTCAACTATAGGTTCAATTGGATAAAATGTAAAACCCTCAACTACGGGTTCAACTATAGGTTCAATTCGATTACATATAAAAAACCCAACAACGGGTTCAACTATAGGTTCAATTCAATGAATTATATGTAAAACTCTCAACTACGGGTTCAACTGGGGATTCTATTTTCAACTAAACTTGCAAACTACAGGTTCAATTAAATAACAAGTTAGCTTCAAATGATGTGCTCAACTATAGGTTCTATTTTCAACTAAACTGGCAAACTACAAGTTCAATTAAATAAGAATTTAGCTTCAAACTACGGGTTCAACTATAGGTTCAATTGAATAATATGTAGAACCATTAACTACGGGTTCAACTATAGGTTCTATTCAATTACATGTAAAACTCTCAACTACGGGTTTTACTATAGTTTCGATTCATTTACATGTAAAACTCTCAACTACGGGTTCAACTATAGGTTCTATTCAATTACATGTAAAAATCGCAACTACGGGTTCAACTATAGGTTCATTGAATAACATGTAAAACTCTGAACTACAGGTTCAACTAGAGGTTCTATTCAATTAAATGTAAAACTCTCAACTAAGGGTTCAACTATAGGTTCTATTTTCAACTAAACTGACGAACTATAGGTTCAATTATAGGTTCATTGAATAACATGTAAAACTCTCAACTACGGGTTCAACTATAGGTTCTATTCAATTACATGTAAAAATCTCAACTACGGGTTCAACTATAGGTTCATTGAATAACATGTAAAACTCTGAACTACGGGTTTAACTATAGTTTCAATTCAATTACATGTTAAACTCTCAACTAAGGGTTCAACTATAGGTTCTATTCAATTACATGTAAAAATCTCAACTACGGTTTCAACTATAGGTTCATTGAATAACATGTAAATCTCTCAACTACGGGTTCAACTATAGGTTCTATTCAGTTAAATGTAAAACTCTAAACTACGGGTTCAACTATAGGTTCTATTTTCAACTAAACTGATAAACTATAGGTTCAATTATAGGTTCATTGAATAACATGTAAAACTCTCAACTACGGGTTCAACTATAGTTTCTATTCATTTAAATGTAAAACTCTAAACTACGGGTTCAACTATAGGTTCTATTTTCAACTAAACTGACAAACTATAGGTTCAATTATAGGTTCATTGAATAACATGTAAAACTCTCAACTACGGGTTCAACTATAGTTTCTATTCAATTAAATGTAAAACTCTAAACTACGGGTTCAACTATAGGTTCTATTTTCAACTAAACTGACAAACTATAGGTTCAATTATAGGTTCATTGAATAACATGTAAAACTCTCAACTACGGGTTCAACTATAGGTTCTATTCAGTTAAATGTAAAACTCTAAACTACGGGTTCAACTATAGGTTCTGTTTTCAACTAAACTGACAAACTATAGGTTCAATTATAGGTTCATTGAATAACATGTAAAAATCCCAACTACGGGTTCAACTATAGGTTCTATTCAGTTAAATGTAAAACTCTAAACTACGGGTTCAACTATAGGTTCTGTTTTCAACTAAACTGACAAACTATAGGTTCAATTATAGGTTCATTGAATAACATGTAAAAATCCCAACTATGGGTTTAACTATAGGTTCTATTCAATTACATGTTAAACTTTCAACTACGGGTTCAACTATAGGTTCTATTCAATTTCATGTAAAGCTCTCAACTACAGGTTCAACTATAGCTTCAATTACTTGTAAAACTTTCAACTACAGGTTAAATTTTCTACTATATACAGCTTTAACTACAGGTTCATGGATGCAGTTTTAGAATTTGAAAATATGATTAACTCGAGAAGTTGGTTTCCAAAAGAAAATCTGCCATTTCATAGTTTATTTGGTTAGGGCTCCTTAATGCTAAAAACTGTCAGAAATGTAAAATAATAAAAATAGAATGAAATAAAAAACATCTAACCAGGTGAATTAAGGAGCATAAGTAAGTCCCTCTATTTTCTCTAAAATGTACTACATTTCATGTTATTTCATGTAACCACGATTCCCCATACTTAAACACAGTGGGAAAAACATGGCGGAGTCATGTAAAACCAAGACAAGAGTTACATGATTTTGCCACATTGTTCATGTTCTGCCACAGTTTGCCCCGTGTAAAAGTGGAGTAAAATCAAGAGTGCCATCTCTTGTTTTTACAACAACATGCCACGCCACACATGGGGCAAAATGAAGCGAACTAAAGTGAAGTAAAGTAAGAACATGTGCCCTCTTTCGCCACGCATGTAAAAACATGGGTTTTTTCCTAAGGGAATTTTAATAAAAACCCTGTGACCTTCAATTTCTCAGTCCATATGAAGTTGCTGGAAATATTACTATGTTTATAGAACTTCAGAATCGGTCCCTGGGGAGTGTAAGATATTTGTTGTATTCAAGCACATAATTTTGAATGTGAACGTTTCTTACTTCCTCAGTCACAGTCAGAGAGAATGTTCTGGCGAAAGGAGATTCTGGGATTCCAAATTCTTGAAGTTGGGAAACCGGAATGTGTTACCTTTTTTAATCCCCGAATCTCTCCGAAACTACTCATCTTGGTGACTGTAAATTGCACAGCTGTATTCAATGGAGTCTTGTCATATTCAATCTGCCTCAATTTTAAAGTGTATATTTTATTTTTAACGTGATTTCATCGTTTTTTTGACCGATGGCGGTGATGTCATCAATTTTATCTCGACGTTGATTGGTTAAATGATGATTGTTTGGGAAATTTGAATTCAGTTCTCGTAACCTCCCGTGACCTCCTGAATAGGTCACGTGACCTTGTGCCAGAAGTCCGACTTTTTTGTCAGTCGACCTGTTCAAAGTACATTTAGTAATAATTATCGCTTTTCAGAACAATTTAGGAAACAATATTTTCTATCTACGTCGATTACAAAGCATCTAAGGTACGTAAATTTATATGAACAACTGAGTCAATAGGGATAAATAGCCCAACGATAGTCGGCGGTCTTGAAAAATACTTGGATCTGGATGCCAGTCCTGTTATTGATATCATTCCCGTTCGAAGAACGTATTAGATGTCCGTGCATCTTGCCAAATTTTAAACACCTCAAATTTTTCGCGCTCGCTACGTTCGCGTTTAAAATATCCATCAACGAGGGGGGGAGGGGTGGGTACGAAAAATTTCAAACGGAATGCGTGACATATACCTAATTCGCGTGAAAAGTCCGAACGAAACGCGTACGTTTTTTTTCCAGCGTTCGTATTTTTGCTGTGTAGACTGGACGGTCTTTTTTAGAAATTTTTCTACAGAAATATTTTTGCTTGACATTACCAGGTAAAATGCGTATTTGCGTGACATTTTCTGTCACGCAAAAATAACTGGCGTGACTTCAAATTCTTCAGCAAATGCGTGACAAATACGCAAATTGCTGGACAGTTGACAGGCCTGAATTGTTTCCATTGAAAGAGTACGTATAAAACATTTTCCGATTAATCTAGGTAGATTAAATCCTACGGGGAGCTCAAGTTGGAACTATACATAATCATTTAGAAAACTGGACTGGGAAATCAGAGGTCGAATGGTTTTTCAGAAAAATATGTTCCAAAAATTCTTGACACCTTGTAAGTCGTAGGGTCGAAGGGTCATAGGTCGAAGGGTTTTTATTATGAAGCATAAGTGCGCATGTCAATATATAATAACGGCAATTGCCGTCATGTTCTTCAAGTGACGTGCAATATTTTGCACGACAATTGACGTGCAAACTATTATCTTGTAAAAGTTTCACATATTATCGGCAGGACAACAGGCAGTAATAAACTGGGAAACTAGTGGGAAAATCATGATTTGCATCGTATGTAATAGTTAAAATCATAAACATTTGCTATTTTCCGGGTTGCGTTTTGAACTAACAACTATTATGATGTGCTTACGTCAATGTTTACAAGAAATATTTATTCAACAGCAAACCGGAAGTAAACAAATGACGTGAAGAAAACGAATAAATTCTGATTTAATGAGGATTTGAATTTAAATTGTTTATAATTCATTTAAGGTAATCATTAGATCATTGTAAAGAAGGTTTAAAAACTAAATCAAGCCAGGAAAAAAACGAAAAAATCAACAACACGCTGCGGTCAGGAAAACACTTCCGGTCAAAACGAAGAGGGAAAGTAGACCCCATTTTAGTGATTTCCAGCGGTCTTTTCTCGGAATTGGGGCTCACGTTGTGTTCAGAGATTAAAAAACTATTGGGTCAGTACCAATTTCGTCGTATAACCTGTCGGAAAGACGATATCTAGACAATTGAAGGAGTGTTGGTAATTCCAATAAGGCGTTTTTCTGGGATTCGTGAGAGGTAACTTTGATTAGTTCTAGCGCAAAATTCCCACATAGGATCGCGAATTCCTACATACAAGTGCTAGATTAGATAAAATACTTGAAGAAAATGCAATAAAAAGCGTTCCATCGATCGATTTAGACTTTCCAAGAATGCAAGTTCGGTGGTGACTTCATTGGTTCGTAACATTTACAGAAAATTCACAAGATTGAACGGCATTTTCTCCACAATTTTGGAATGAAATTCTTCCATGGGATTTAATATATCATTAATGTTTACCAAAGTATACGTACTATAAAATACATATTACTTAGATTGTATATATATTAACACTGGGTCTTCTAATCAACCTGGTGTTTCAAATTATGAATTACAATGGACATTATGCTTATTGGCGTGATTTACGTCAATTGACGTGCAAAATGGCAATCTCCGTGTTACATGTTAAATGGGGTTAGCGTCTCCACTGATAATCTGGCAAACAAAATGATTGCAAATACCCAGGGTTAATAACTATAGGTTGAATCCTGCAAATGTCAGAAAACATATTTGTGGAATTTATATTGCTTCTGCATGGATAAAAGCTAGATAAAAATATAATTTCTCAACTAAAGACTGTTTTTATGAATATGAGCTCTTCTGTTGATACCTGTATGAAAAAGCCAACTTACCAATAGTTTGGGTCATCAGCCCTGCTTAAGACTTCATCTATTTCATCTTTCTTCTTGGGTTTAATCAGCTTCTGTCCCTCTATGTTGTAGCCTATATGGGGGTATTCATTGTACCACTCCACTGGGATGTTCCCTATAGTGTTGCGTACATCCTACAATATATCAATAGTTCTCTTAAATGAGACAAGAAAAAAGTCGCAGAGTTAAGCAAAAATAGCTCCAACATTGACAATGTTTATCAAAAATGAAGTTTTTAGATGTTTGCTCAGAACAGATGCACCAGACACTATCTACAATCTATAATTTAATGGACACAGGGCATGTATGGTGAATTTGTTTTACTTTAATTAGCCATGGAATATGAGAACTTCAGAAATCTTGAATAATTTTTATGACACGTTTTTCTCGTATATCTATCAGCATAATACTTGAAACATATTTCTTCGCATGTGTGCAATTGATAGGTGATTAACAGTACAATGATAATGAAAATTGTTTTTTAAAAGATAGATTCAATCATATATTATTTCAAAGAACATTGAAACTTGTGATAACTAAGTTTACAAAAATTCAAACTCGGGTCTTATTACTTACTAATCACCAAAAGGGTTCCAAATAGTATCTTACATTTTAGTTTAGTTTTATATAACAAACGTACATACAGTACAATCTAAAACCAGCTTGCAAAATGTTCTTTATAAGCCTAATGTAACACTTAACATTCCTACCTCCTCATCTGAAGAGTCAAAATCATATTCATCTGGGACTTTTTCCACACTGGGACCAGCTTCATTTATATTGGCCTTTGCCTGTTTTGTTCCCTTTCTCCTGGACAACTTGTCATTCCTCTTGTTTAATTTCTGCTGTCTTAGTGCTATTTCTTTGTTGTTGTTTGTCTTTTTGTCCTCTGCATCATCACTTTCACTACCATCTTCTGATGTTGGCTCTTGCTCCTAAAATGAGTAATTTCGTAATTATTGGTTTACCTTGTCTCTGGTTCTATTTCCAAAGCCTGTGTTAAAGAGAAAATGAGGACCAATGTTACAGTCAATTCCCTCACTTGTGTACCTCAGTTATTCATTGTTTATTTCAGTTATTCATTGTTTACTTCAGTTATTCATTGTTTACCTCAAATCTTCAGTGTTCACCCCAATCTTTAATTGATTACATCAATTTCCACAATTTCATTTATTACCTCAATTGTTAAACTGAAAGCATGGATATTTTCATTGCTCTTAATATCTCAATCTTCTTTCACTTCATTATTTACCTCAATCTCATCTTCACTTGATGATTCCTCCTCCTCTAAACCAGAATATACGCTCTCATCTGAGTCGCTTGAGTCAATATCACTTGAGCTTGCATCTGGAGAGGCATTGCTGAACAGACCCTGTATGTAAATTCAAGAGTAAGACAGTTTAGGAGAGGAATTTAGTTGTTATCATCATCATTGCTACTTAAGCATTTATATCCAGAGTAATATAATTGGGCACATTTTCTGAAAAATTCAAAAGATTCTGTTCAGTGACCTGAAAATTCTTTCACCACTGGATAGCGAGACCAAAAATCTTCAAAATGAACCCATAAATGCCTCGCTTTATTACAATAATTATGTGTAATCGTTGCAGATAAGACGAAATTGCATTTCCGGCCGGTCTTCTTGTCATTTCCGCTGACCTAATTTCAAGTGCGCATGGGTGGCATAAATCGAGTGAGATGATCACGTGACGTAATTTGATGATCATGTGACATAATAACCATAACCAGTTGGTAAAACTGCTATAGTGGATTCTTGATTCAATATGTTTGTATCACTTGTAACTGTTCTGGCTTCAAATCAAATCCAAACTTTGGTTTTATGTTATGCGAATAGAGATCATTGATTTTTTCCATCGAACACATGATGGTCGAATGAATGATATAAACTCTGTATAGTTAAATAGATGGCAGCAATATTCAATGGCTTCTCTCGTCAAATCTCGTGAGAATAGAAGCCGCCATAAAGATTTTGTGAACAGTAGCGACAAACGGCGATTTTGCTACAAAATTAGCACAATTCAACCTTCTAAAACCACAAAGGTATGGTAAGTTTTTGTATAAATCATCAATGTATCCATTTCTCTATAAATGACGCAGAAATTCTAAGCAGAAGATTAAAATTAGGTGAACTGTCAAAAATAATCAAGAAAAACTTAGATTGGCATGAATTTACAAGGATAAACACCACCTCTAATGCAAGTCCATACGACAATCCAACGCATTAGAGGCGATGTTCACCGTCTACTGTGATGCAGACTGACATATGACATGTATGAGCTAGAGCATTGTGCATGAAGTAATGAAGGTACGTTTTCTATGTTTACATCAAAAAAAGAAAATGAACATTCAAGTCTAATAGAACAAATGGAGTGTTATTTATCTAGAATGGCCAAAACAAAGTCCATACAGTGGCCATAGAAAATGGTAAGAGATTCTAAGTATGAGTGGAGTGGTGGAAAAACATATAAAATGTGAAGTGCATGGAGAGTTCCTACAACATATCGATAAAATTTGATAAAAAGGCTACCAAACTAATTAATAATGAGAGTGTGAGGAAAGGATGTGGATATGAGGTCAAAATAATAATTTGAGTGGGCGATAAAATGTTTTTACTTTCGTAAAAATATTTACGTGGTGATAAATGGACTACTCTAAGCTTTTCATCCAACGATATTCAATTTGTTTCATGTTAAGTCTTTTAATTAACTAATAAAACAATGTTCTTACGTCTAAATCATCATCTAGTGTCGCAATTTCATCTTTAATCGAAGATTTTCTTTTGCTGGCCATATTCACATGTGTGACGCAAAGCACTCTGGGTAAATACACTAATTGAACTTCCGCTTCCGGGTTTAGAAAAACAAAGTCAAAGAAAGGATTGTCACGAATCAGCCGTTTGACATTAGTAAGACATTTTAACACTTTTAACATGGACTAAAGAAACATAAGAATTGAATCGACTGAAAACCATAATATACCATCGCCTTATTTATAGAATAGGTAGAAAATACAATAATAAAACAAACAATTTTTAGAAAGTAATTTCCATAAATCTAATCTCAGTACAGGAGATTAGTAAACAACAGCAGTGAACAGGAAATACTTCATCGAACAAAATGGACTGCATACAAAGGAAAGCACTGAGACTATTGAATTATTTCTCACTTATGACATTAAAATGTTTTTATTCTGGATTAATATTAATTACAATTGTCTGCGGTTCTGAACATCGTGATGTCGAACTATGTGGGAAAACTTTAGTAATCGATACAAAGAACAACACTCTTCAACTGGATATGTCAGATATAGGATCTAACATTTTGGATTCGAATTGTTCTTTATTTGTTGGTTCACGATTCAGAAATATGGGGTTACTTATAAATCTTGATGTGCAATACAATGGAGAGACCACAAATAGCTGTACAGAACTTTTGATCACAGAGACTAATAACGAGAAACAATTGTTTTCACATGTGATTTGCTCATCAAATTTGAGAATTGATCGTTTTCTGATGTCATTGACTAATAACGTTTCTATAAAATTTATAACAACTGAACAAGCTGTGAACCCAAGGAGGAATACTGAAATAAAATTATCGGTTACTCCATATTATCAAGCACAGATACCACAAGAAGAATGTTCTAAAGTTGGATATAACGTTTTATGTAAGAATCCTATTGGATCGTCACTTCATACATCCATCTGTATAAGTAATAGCTTTGCCTGTGACGGCATTGCTCAGTGCTCCCGACGCGAGGACGAGGAGCCCGAAGTCTGTAATCGTGTTGCTATGATACAGAGACAGCTGTCTATTCCACCCACCACTACTGTTGTCACAACAACAACTGCGAGCTCAGAAGATTTTTCAAGTATCTGGTCATACACGTCAATCGGTGTATTTGGATTACTAGTTTTTATACTCCTATCTATAAGTCTTAGTCAGTGTTTAAAAGCACGTCGTAGTCAGCACGAAGATGAGATTGACAGTAACGCAATGTATCAGTTGTCAGATGGAGAGGAAGGCCAAGTGAATCCTGGGTATGCACCGCCAGAATATAGCCTCGTAAGACGACAAATTAGTCAGACCCCAAGTGATATTTCCCTCCCTCCTAATTATGACGATGCAGTTAGATTTCCAATATCACCAATTCCTGATGGTGACATAGCAGATGTTAACATTGTATCTGGGACAATTCCACAAAATAATTCCGAACCAACTATTGCTCAAGAAGCCTCGAGGGTAAGCTTCATGTTAGGGGACTCCATAAGCCCTCCGACAAGCCCAACTAATACTACAAGTTCAACTACCGCACTTACATAGAAACAGTGACAATGTGAAAAAATATTCTTATATATGGTGTATTTTGATATACCTATGGATGCAGTAAAGAGATAATATTAACAAAAACTGAAGATACACTATTTGTCATAATTGCATGAATGTAGCTAGGATTTTCAACAATTTTCCACTGAAACTATGGACATTATCCCATTGTAGTTAAATATCCCCAATTTCTGGCTTAGTTTGCCTTACTTATTTAAGCATGCCTCACATTTTTAAGTTTACCTCACATATTTTTGAATCCTGGCTACTCCATTGTAGTTGAGACAATAATTTGCTCATAACTGACATTTTTTGTTTACAGAATTTATATTTTAGGCTATGAATATTAAAAGGCTATGAAAATGTAGCAGATTTAATAATGGTGTCAATATTGACTTAAGAAAGGGGTATATTTAAATAGCCATATTCTGTTATGTATGAAGTGGTGCTGGAAAAGTGGTGGTAACGTCTGTTACGTCACTCATCACTGTGCAATTGAGAGTTGTGATCATGTTCATTTAGAACACCAATCATGTTCATTAAGATCACCAATCATGTTCATTAAGATCACCAATCATGTTCATTGAGAACACCAATCATATTCATTAATAACACCGATCATGTTTATTGAGAACACCGATCATGTTCATTGAGAACACCAATCATATTCATTGAGAACACCAATCATATTCATTAATAACACCGATCATGTTTATTGAGAACACCGATTATGTTCATTGAGAACACGGATCATGTTCATTTAGAACACCAATCATATTCATTAAGAACACCGATCATTTTTCATTTAGAACACCAATCATATTCATTTAGAACACCAATCATGTTCAATTAGAACACCAATCATATTCATTGAGAACACCAATCATATTCATTAATAACACCGATCATGTTTATTGAGAACACCGATCATGATCATTTGGAACATCTATCATGTTAATTTAGAACACCAATCATGTTCATTGAGAACAGCGATCACATTCATTGAGAACACCGATCATGATCATTTAGAACATCTATCATGTTAATTTAGAACACCAATCATGTTCATTGAGAACACCGATCACATTCATTGAGCACACCGATCATGTTCATTTAGAACACCAATCATGTTCATTTAGAACACCGATCATGTTCATTGAGAACACCAATTACCCAAATGCGAGTAAGTAGTTACCAGTTTCACCACAAGGTGGCTGATTCGGGTCAATTAACATGGCAGGTATATAAGAAAGTTCCCTTAAACTTGAATATTATCAATTTAAGTGGCTCAATTTTCATATAACCCTTATGTGTCTGATACTTATACTAATGAAAATATGTCCAGTAAAGCAAAATATTATCTGTCCACTAAAAGAAAAGATATTTCATTTTTTGTGATTTTATTGCATGGGGTCTATGGGGAATCTCCCCGAGCTAGAAGTCACATTTTCAAAGAAAATTAATTTTTTTTTGAATTTTGAATGACGTAAATCAAGATTATTTCTACTCGCATCTGGGTTATTATATTCATTGAGAACACCAATCATGTTCATTTAGAACACCGATCATGTTCATTGAGAACACCAATTATATTCATTGAGAACACCTATCATGTAAATTGAGAAAATTGATCATGTTTACGAATTATGTTCATTGAGAAAACTTATTCTGTTCATCGAGGGCCAAGTGAAATATTTAGTTTTTATCCACCTTTATTCAATGAACGACTCTGTTCAGTTTGAAAACTGTTGTTATGTACATGATACATTCATAGTAGTGCTCACATTGAGCATGATGGTCTATGTCTATATTATATCTATGTGTACATCTGTACATGTATATGTGTATTATTTAATTTGTTTATGTTAAGCTATGAATGTGACCTATTTTTACTTCAAATCACTGATTGCTGACACCTTATGCTTATTTGCTTATTTTGGAAAACAGAGGTAGTGCATCTAATCTCTTCGCCCTTCCCCTTTCTACACCTTTTTTATGATCCTATTTTGTGTCAGAGACAAAAAATTATGAAGGGGAGAGGTTTGATGCAAAACTTGCTTAATACTCATGTTCTTAAACCATTGATTCATGGATATGATTTTAACAGCTGTATATTTTTAATACATACTGGAAGTGACCATAATTTTCAGATCTCAATAAAATTGTAAATTGTAAAAATTTGCCAAATTATATCTTTAACATCCAGAATTTTCTAGTTGTGGTATTGCCAAAAGTTTATATTGAAATGAAAATTGACTGAATGAATGAAAATAGACTGACTTTTTAATACTTTTTATTGGTGTATTGATCAAATCAAATCATCAATTAAAGTATATCCAATTACATAGAAAGGGAAAAGAGATGTTCAAATAATTATAATACAGTATGCTGTAAATTAGTCTACTTATCTTTACTGAATATAAATCATTACATGAATGGTATTATCATCAAGTATTTTCATATGAGTTATGTTAATAACATGCAGGGGTTTCATAAGCAGTAGGCAACAGGTGACTCACCAGTTGTTTTCACAAAATTGCCTGCTGTTTTTAGGGACTTTTCAACTTTTCCATGTGTTTATGATTTCCATTAATTTTGCCTGTTGATTTCATTTATTTGGCATATTGTGAGAAATTCTAGTGAAACCCCTGAACATGTCTAAGTTGTTCCATGCTTTGTATTCCATTGCATTGTTCAAAACCATTGAATCAAGCTACAAATGAAGGTAATTAAGATTTTTTTCTATATGCTTGACTCCAGGGTTTAAGTTATATATGAAAATGATATACAACATAAATAAATAAAAATTATTGTTTCTCAAATAATTTGTTTGTTTTTAAACACAGATAAACATGATACATGTACAATATTGTTATGGCTCCACCAGAAGTGGTGACATATTGTTATAGTCTCCCAACTTTTTTTTGTGGATGTTGTTTGACGGTTGATGTTAAGAGTTTGGCACCTGTAACAAATGGCAGGTGGTGACATTTTGCATGTTAATGTCTCGTTGATAAATACAATCATTTTGTACTATAAGGGTATACATGTATATGAGAGTCGTTCAATAGAGCTACAAATGAAAATAATTAAGATTATTTTTTATTTATACATGTACAGTCTATGAGAGTCGTTCAAATAAATACTGATCCAAATGCTATAATGTCCATGTACATCAAGGAATCAAATTGAGATTCACAGAGATTGAAGGCAATATGTATTCATACAGTTACTGCTGTTACAGTATTTCAGATTAACACATTTACACAAATAGATACACATTAATCAATGAATGAACTTTCAATTATTAAAACTTCAATGATAAAGTATATCTTTACATTGTCATTGTGTGATAAATCTTGTGGACATGCTAAATTTAAGGTCAATGATAAGAGGTAAACAAATCTATAGTATAAGAGAAACCTCTGTTTGTGGACATCTCAAATTGAACACTACAATAAAGGCAGGGAACACTTCAGTTCCATTTTTATGTCACCACCACAAGTGGTGACGTCTTGTTATAGCCTCCAACTTTTTGTAGACGGTGTTCAGCGTCTGGCGTTCGGCGTCTGTAACAAATGGCAGGTGGTGGCATTTTGCATGTTAATGCCTTGCTAGATATCCCATTGACTTATGAAAACTCTAATGTGATGACCTCTCAATGTGAACACTTTCATCCCCCCCCCCCTTGTAGTGTTCACTTAAGACAAGCGCTAGCAGTTCAGCACTGGTATATTCAGAACTCGTGAATTAAGGACAAACGATTTAGACCTCAGTTAACCTTATGCTATGTATTGAAATGAACTGTTTAGTAGCATTTCCTCGGATTATGACTTTTAACCTATTGTATCTGTTTAAAACCGCATTTGTAAGTAATATTATGTTCAGTAAAACCCGTTCATTTGAACACTTCTGTAAGTGAACACCTCCTGCTCCATAGGTGAAACACTTTTTTTTCTGATACATTTTCCTATTCATGAAATAATCGTGTAAGATAAACTTTTTTAGTTGTACGCCTCCCAAGAGGAACAGTATCTTGAGTTACGCAACCTACTCCACATACACAGGTTTCACTGTATGTCTAAATAAGATAAGTAACAGGAGATGCATAGGATGTACTTCATATCCTTTACTTTATGCAGTTTGTGCAGCGATAAAACTTAACGGATGCTAGGTATATTTATGGATTCCGAATAAATGGATGAAGTTCATTAACACTGTAGAGTATGAGTATTTCTGTTACAATCCAATGCAGGGAATGCGTCTGAAAAAGAATCCATTTTTATGAATTGAAAATATTTTGTTGGTACAATTGTTTGTTTCACCAGATTTACTATGGGAGGGAGTGGAAGGGGAGATTTATTGAAAATAGAGATTTATTCGTATATGAAATTCACCGTAAATTATGCAGTTTGTGCAGCGATAAAACTTAACGGATGCTAGGTATATTTATGGATTCCGAATAAATGGATGAAGTTCATTAACACTGTAGAGTATGAGTATTTCTGTTACAATCCAATGCAGGGAATGCGTCTGAAAAAGAATCCATTTTTATGAATTGAAAATATTTTGTTGGTACAATTGTTTGTTTCACCAGATTTACTATGGGAGGGAGTGGAAGGGGAGATTTATTGAAAATAGAGATTTATTCGTATATGAAATTCACCGTAAAGTTACAATAAAAATAGTACTGAGATTTAATATTTGCACTCACTTTTTGTTGATTCTGTATACAGGATCGACAATTTAATTCTTTAATATAAATTATTAACAGGTGTGAAAGAAATTATGGTCCCCCAGGGATTATGGTCCCACCTTTTAAAGGCCCTTTCTGGCCCTGATTGTGTATAAGATAATAAGGGAAAGAGCACAAAGAGGTCAACATATAAATCAAAAGAGAGTAGGACCATAAATTAATAGGACCTCCTACCCTTTTACACCGGCTTAAAAACATGATATCCTTTTTTCAAAATCCATTAAATGAATAGCCATCTATGTTTTAAAATGGCAAATGAACCAAATTGAACTCTGTTAAATGAATTGAACTGCAAAAGTGCATTATAACTTATAAACATGTTAGTTTTTAAAGTACACAGGGAATATATGGTAAAAAGGTTGAACAATGCTTCGTCCTTTAGGTTGTATTCTATTGTATCTATTTTTACATGCATTCGAGAGATTCATGTACGTTTGTATACCAAAACATGTTTACGAGTATAAACTTTGCAAGCAACATTATGTTATGATTTAGATGGTAAACAACCTTTATAAATTGAGAATATGAAAATGATTAATGTTTGTTTACAGACTCGTCATACACACAGGCTGGTATCGAAATATTTGTCCGCTGTGACGGAGCATGCTATTTTTCATAAAAACACTAAGAACGCTTCGCGATTTATTTTTTAACTCATATGTTTCGTTATACCATACAAAATTACTCACTCCATGCAATGGATATATCATTTGCGGGTAACTGTCACTTCTGTTTGAAGTCCAATTACGCTGGGAAGAAAAGCTATTGAAAATGGCGCCGGAGTATCATACTTCAAAATGTACCATTTCCTGTTTAACTTTCTAATGGCACGATATAGTGACACGATAATATTTACACATGGTTTCAGCATAACTATGAAGGTATAAATGAGATGTTGATGTATTTGGTCTTTTTAATTCTTTTATAAAAAATAATGTTTAATTTTTTTGTCCGCTGTGACGGAGCAGTTGCAAATGTGAACTGTGAAAATGCTCCGTCACAGCGGACAAAAAATATTAATATTATTATTTTTTTTAAATTAAAAAGACCAAATGCATTAATATCTCATTAATACATTCAGAGTTATGCTGAAAACATATGTTAATATTATCGTGTCACTATATCATGCCATTAAAAAGTTAAAAAAGAAATGGTACATTTGAGAGTTTGATACTCTGGCGCCGTTTTCAATAGATTTTACTCCTAGCGTTAATGGACTTCAAACAGAAGTGAAGGTTACACGCAAATGATATATCCATTGCATGGAGTAAGTAATTATCTTTGATATAACGAAACATATGAGTTAAAAAATAAATCGTGAAGCATTCTTAGTGTTTTTATGAAAAATAGCATGCTCCGTCACAGCGGACAAATCTTTCGATACCAGCCTGTGATACATAGGTAACATTATTCTAATTATTTATAGTCCATAAAATGTAAAAGTGTAATGTAAGAATAAGACAAGATTGAAAATGTAGGGATCTTTTTGTTGGAAGAAGTCAAGGAAAACCAAAACCATTTATCACAGACGCCGACAGAGGGAAGCTCAGGGAACAGTTGGGACACTGAAAGTAATTTTGTATTACAATTATGTAGCAAGATGGATTTGAATCGAATAATACATATCACTGGCGGACCCAAAAGATAACAAATGGGGGGGATTTTGAGTCAGGAAAGCCCGGAAAAAATTGGGCCTAAATTTTGAAAATTTAAGGCCCATTTTTGATAATTTGACCTATAGAGGCCAACTTATCCCCAAAAAGGCCCATTTTTGGAGGCCCTACAAATATTTTTGTGCCCAAAATTTTTTGCCCCATCTTGGATCCGCCAGTGCATATAATACTATAGTTATGGTAAAACATTATTTTCATCGCTGATTTCAAACTCGCCATTATATAACATTCCAAAATTACTTTTATCTCATTTTTCATTGTCAGGGAAATGCTAGGATCGAATTCCTTCTTTAAAAAACTTTAAGACCTTGGGTTGTCATAAGAATAAATGTTAAAATGATTGACCCGGATTGAAGTGCATTGTATTTGATCCATTCAGTGTGATTTAACAATGGAAACAATAAAAACAAAATAAAAAAAACAAAATAAAAAGAAACGATCTCTTGTTCAAAATTGAAATTTCTGCCTTATTCCCAGAGAATTATTTTTCGAGCAATTATTTATAATAAAACTCGATAGTAGATCTTGTAATGTTATCAATATATTAGTTTTAATCATAAGGGGCAGTCTAAATCAGTATTAAGAGCGATCGGTCCCTGGATTCTAACTTACCCCGAATAACCTATTTTTCAAATCATAAGTCATTTGTTATTTGCTCCATTAATGGATTGCTTTCAGGAGTCGGGTAAGGACGTCCTTAATACTGTATGTCTTCATAACAATAGCCCTATTAACACTACACGCAGCATTCCAAGACGTCTTGGCTAAAACGTTTCAGAAAAATAATGTTGAGTTTACACCACCTTTTTCAAGACGTCTTACGGAATATGATTGGGTTTACACCAGTTTTTCTAAAACGTCTAAGAGATATGTAGGTTTACATGTAAAGTGAAAAAAGAAGTTCAGCACTGGTTGAAGGACGGTTCAGTCAATATAGCTATTCCTTTCCCGCTTCTATACTTTGTACTAAAGAATGCATCAGTTTCACAAAAATATGTCCTAAAGACAGCATTGTTAAAAGCATGAAAGAGAGCAGGAAGATTTTATGCATAAATTAGCTATAGGATTATGATAAATCCGATGGATTTACACTCGCTTGTAAAACGTTTTAACGCTAAGACGTCTTGGCTACTAGGGTCCTAAAACGTTTTAGCTAAGCGCACTTAGCCGAGAGCTCTTGAGAAAATCTGGATTTACATTACATTTGTAAAAGTTTTAACGCTAAAACGTTTTAGCCAAAACGTCTTAGGGCTCTAGTGTAAATCCAACAATGGATATGCACACGCTCTCTACATTCTACACAATATCAATGACAATGCAATGACTAAATCCTAAAATACACAGAAAATAAAAAAAATATCAATTGGAACATTATTTGACTTTGATACTAACCTTACTCTGTAAATATTACAGTTTAGAAACCTACTCACGTATAAGGTAAACGAATTGCTCTTTAATATGTATAAAGTGTGCATTTATCCTCATCATGCTGCTCAGTAGGCAAGTTATTTTGTCAATCTAGTATTTATAGAAGAGAGTTTGTGTTGAAGCAACCCTTTCTTGCTATTGAGCCAAATTGTGAAATAAGAAAAAGAACGCGAAAAACCTATTAGGTTTTTGTCAAAAGCCCTTTTCTTGGAATTTTATTTCAAATTTATCGGATGGAAATCAAGCAGTTGTCTGATGGGCCTCTTTGTAAATTTCCTCATGGAAAATAAAAAATGAAATGCATTGTGAACACCCTGTATATGTATGTGAACGCAGCAGAGTTGATGCTTTTGTATGCAGAATATTACTATAATAATTGATAAGTACTGCTGTATGATTAAACATTCTATTGGTGAGAACCAATTATAATTGTACAGAGTGTCTCAAAAAAATGTTACACTTACAAAAAGTTCAATATCTTTCATAATTTTGACTTTTCCCGTAAATATACTTTGGATACCAAAAGACAAATCTTTCTCGAATAATTTGACACCATCAGATTCAAAATATGTCTTTGACTGGCTCCACAGGACAGCTTTTATTGTCACATAGTAAAATCTGACTTGCGCCAACTTCTAAGTGATTGGATGGACCAGATGACAAAAGAAGAACTGTTTTTGAACATTTAACTTTCTTCTGAGCAGAAGCTTGACCTTTAATTGAGTCATTCTGTAATTTTCCTATTTGTCTTACATATGGTCATTGGGTCTATCCACATAAACATGTGGTCACCTCAACATGTTGAATGTGAAAGCAAATCTGAGGATCTGAGGTACCCTTGCCTATGCGAACATGCATTGTAATATCACACTGATTCCATTAATTATTTTTGTAGAAGTTCATTAAGGTCAGTTTGTGATGCTGTAAAGCGCTTTCAGAGGCCCCTCAAAAATCAAGGGTGTAAAGTGTGATGACCGTGGGGGACAATCAATTGGGTAATTCAATTTCTGATTTTCAAAGAGTTCTACCAAATGATCTCCCACAGGCCTTTGCACCATCCTGTTGCCATCATACATAACGAAATTGAACCTTTGACAATGAAATATTGTATTTCTATCCAGGAAAGAAACAACTGGATCATTGATCATATCAAGATATCACTGTCCACAGCATTCACACCAAAAAAGAATTGATCACCAAATGTCTAACCACTGAGAAGTTGGCGCAAATCAGATTTCACATGCGTGTATAAAATCTGTCCTGTGCAGCCAATCATGGACGGATTTTGAATCTGATGGTGTGGATTTATTCGAGAAAGGCTGGTCTTTTGGTATCTAAGTATATTTTAGGGGAAAAGTCAAAATCATGAAAGATATTGAACTTTTTGTAAGTGTAACATTTTTTTGAGACACACTGTATATTATGAGCTATTGTTATTATTAAATGCTGTCAGAAGTGGTAATTGGGTATTTAAGTAGTTCTCATAGTCAGAGATTTATATATTTCTGTTCATAGGTATTGTGTGATGGCATTGACATAGTAATTTGTGTATTCCAGTTCTTTGTGTTCTGTTGAATAACATCGCATTCTGAGCAAAACCTTTTTAAACATCTTTGATGATATATTCGCGATGTGCTGCTCTGAGCGATTTTATCCGGCAGCTCCGCCAAGTGATATTCTATTGTTTCATTCTATTGACAAACTAGATTCTAATATTTCATTTTTGTCTGAAAATAATTTCAGAATATACTGAACACCATATGCAATGTGGTTCTCTGACAGACTGAATAATTTGTCACTCAGATAACATAATTTGAGGCATAATTGTGAAAATTGTAGCTTCGGATATCATCCTGAAATTTCATATGGACCTCTAGTGTCGTTCAATCTTTCTTATTCAGGAACCCCTGAAGATTTATTTATCTCATTTCAGGAACAGTTTTGAAAGTGGTTTTTGCATCCTCTGTTAAAAATTTTATCGAAATTGATTCATTTTCATATTGAAATAAAAGAATATACGATTTTTGACCCAACCTGTATACAATAAATCAAACAATTAATTTTGTGCATTTAGAGAAAGTTTAAAGGATGTTTAATCTGTTAATTTCTTTTCCACTTCGTAACTAAATTGGATTATGTTTGAGCACATGCGTACAAAGTATATTATATCATGTATGAATAAGTATCAAAATAACTTCTGATAATATGAAATCCTAGACAAATAGATTATCTGTTAAATAAGAAATTAGGCCCAAGGTTTGATTAATCTATACATTTATAATAATACCATCTTTCAAGATGAATTAGATCTGACACTTGTTCCAAACACTCATACAATATTTTGAAAAATGGTTATGAATATGTGGAATAAAACACAATATTAATTTATTAAAAAATCTGCAATTACAGTAATACAGATACATTATTGCTACATATACAGGGTGTCCCGAAAGTATGGCCCCCCCCCCCCCCCCCCTAGGCAGACATATTCCAGTGTCCTCATAGTATGTGTCATATATCATTTTAAAGCGTATCCAAAGTTACATTGATTTGCCAAGTATCATGGTTTAACTCCCTAATGGGAAAAAGTTACAGTAATTTTAAAAGTTAGTGTTTTGTCAAAATAAAGTTCAACTTTACACCACATTACTAGTCAATGTGTCCCCCCTTGGCCATGTTAACAGCAGCAATTATTTTCAAATATGACCTCAGAAGCCATTCAAATAGGGATGTGGAATTTTATAACCCTCTTAAAACCTGTTAAGGGACTTTCGAAGAGTTTCCTTAGAGTTTCTACCCTCATCGTTCTCTTTTTTCCAACTCAATATCCATCCGACCCGAAAATTATTGTTGCTGTTAAGATGGCCCAGGAGGACACATTGACTATTGTTTTGGTGTAAAACTGGACTTAATTTTGACCAAACACTAAATTTTGAAATGCCTGTAATTTTTTCACATTTGAGAGTTGAACTATGATCCTTGGCGAATCAATGTAACTTTGGATAGGCTTTAAAATGATATATGGCACATACTATGACGACACTGGTATATGTCTGCCTAGGGGGGGCCCATACTTTCGGGACACCCTGTATACAGCGATATATTTTTCTATCCTGTATGAAAATACTTTTATCAATCCAAATGTCTAATGGCTCCTGTCAAAGCCATTGATCGCAATGTAGGCGTTCTTTGAACAGTCTTTATCTTCTAAGAAAGAAGACTAACGCAAACAGAATACCAGTGCCGGTCAATGTTCCTAATAGTAACATACCGATGCCTAAACCCGCCATTTGCCCTGCAAGATAAAACATAGACTTTTAAAATTTAGTGATGCCTAAACCCGCCATTTGCCCTGCAAGATAGAACATAGACTTTAAAATTTAGTGATGCCTAAACCCGCCATTTGGCCTGCAAAATAGAACATAGACTTTAAAATTTAGTGGTGCCTAAACCCGCCATTTGGCCTGCAAAATAGAACATAGACCTTAAAATTTAGTGATGCCTAAACCCGCCATTTGCCCTGCAAGATAGAACATAGACTTTAAATTTAGTGATCCCTAAACCCGCCATTTGCCCTGTAAGATAGAAAATATACTTTGAAATTTAGTGATGCCTAAACCCGCCATTTGTCCTGCAAAACAGAACATAGACTCTAAAATTTAGTGATATCTAAACCCGCCGTTTGCCCTGCAAGATAAAACATAGTCATACATATTGATTCTCGGAGCCGGCATTTGCCTTGTTAGATATAGAAAGGTAACATAGTTACATATTTATAAATCGGCTATCTAAAGGCAGAATCAGATATATAGGAAGTGACAAAATTGCAAGCAATATGTACAATTGATCTACCATACAAACTTAAATATAAGATCTCCCAAAAGATCCGTGATATGTTATCAGTTGGTATAGTAATTTAAGATTAAAAGTGCAAATGGGGGAAATATTTAAATTCTCCCTAATAATAAAAATGGTAAGCATTCTTAAAGACAAATGATTGCATTATTGTGAAGATCTTTATTTTTCTTCAAATAAAGTATATACTATATTCTAGTATTTGGGGTATTTTTTAGAAAATAGACACGACGACATGACAAGAAATGATATGAGCCCAAAATATTCTAAAACGAAAATAATTGCTAGATCTGATTCTGCCTTTAAGTACAGGGTGAGCCAACACAATGTAACCCAAACAAATGTGAATAACTCAGTCATCCAATATGGGTTTAAAGTCATATTTGGCAAAATTGAACCTTGTTCAATGTTTTTTCATTCTACCAGGTTTCATTGGTCCATCTCAAATGTTCACAGATATTATGTGTAATGGCTCTAATCATCTTTCTTATCTCTTGTTCAACACTCTGATGCTCATCCAAGGGAGTAACCATGATTTACCAAGGGGTTCAACTTTTCCCTGGCCTTGGGGTTCGGGTTTTAACGAAGAGAGGGGGGTTCAGGCAAAGGAGATGGGCAGTTTCAACTCATCAAATAGCTAGTGTAGATGTCTGATTCATTGTTCGCACGAAAATAGTCATCTTTCTAAGAGTGGGGTTCTTCCCGGTTTTTGGTTTGTTGATCTTTCAGAAAAAGGGGTTACCGGCCGGGTGTTTGTTTTGTAAAGGAAGGGGATTCAAGGCGAATGTTCGCATGCAGCCCACAAAGCCCCTCTCACCATACCCATGCTTCTAGAGTTGTAAATGTGGACAATATCTTCGAAATGGCTCCGAAGATAAAAGTTTGGAGATTCACATTGGGTGACATTTCCACATTTGGAGCATGTTTTTTAAAATGACCATAAAACCGTGACAATAAAAGAAGTAGAATGAAAGAACATTGAACAAGGTTTAATAGTGCCAAATTTGAATTCAAATCCATGTTGAAAGACTGAGTTATTAACATTTGTTTGGGTTACATTTTTTGCCTCACCCTGTAATAACAGGCGTAAAGTGGGTGTTATTTTACTGAAAACAATCTTAAAGGAAATAGCAAATGAGAAATATGTAATTCAGTCAATGTATCAATCCAGTCTTTCATTATGGTACTAAGTTTTGTATCTAAACGATGTAAATAATCCCCGCAAATCCGCAATTGTAGAAAGAGATGTTTATCGGTATAAAGTTCACAGGTAAGATGTTTATAGGTAAATTTTGATTAAAGTATTTAATCTACGGGAGATTTAAAGGACGACAATAGAATAACAAATGGCATTAAGATGAAAATAAGTAAGTATGATCCGGCCAACACCTTAATTAACGGAACTACGCATTTCCCATTAATCCCCCTACTTTTAATTTTAAGACCACTAGTTTATACAGTGCACGTAACTTGTTTTATCCTCATAATTAAGAATGCTGATGTAATGCCTCAGTCACATTTTATCTACGGCAGTCGCACAGCGACCATAGCTTCTACAAATTGAAAGAAATATGCGACATAAAATATAGGGATAAAATAATGCAGTACGATACTGTTCAGATTTTCTATATCGAATGTGTGGAGTTATGGCCGCCGTACGTGTATGACCGCCGAAGAGAAAATGTGGCTGATAGACTGCGAGGCTTAAGACATAAGTATAGCAAAATGATCAAATGTATTTATTTTACCATTTTTGTTCTTCATTATATTATGTGACATGAAATATGAATATGTTATGTTCTCACCTGATGAATATTGTAATGTTTTTGGTCGTATTGCGACAGATTGTGCATCCACCCCTGTAATAATTCATATAACAGATGTTAATCATCAATTTCATTCTCCATAGTTACGTCTAGATTGGCACACATTACTGCAATGCATTGTTTTATTTGCAACATAGATGGATAAATAGATGGTAGCACATGAGTTGGTGGGGCCACAATACACGGAGACATATGGCAAAAATCAATTAATTTCTTAATCTATCAAATATTTTCATTTGGATTAATGTAAACACCATTAGAATGTAAACATATGCTCTTGTGGACATGCGGATTGTGATTCCTAAAAGAGTAAATGAACTTTTAAAGATTTTTAACATTGTGTCAATTAGGGATTTAGGACGACCTTTTTAGAAACCTTGTAAATCGTTGAAAATTGAAAAAGGTATCATTACTGTGCAAATTAAAGTTTTGTTGAAAGAAGATTACACACAGAATTCTAAAACATACGTAAAGTAGAAGAAATGTTGGTTTTTAATGGCTACAAATGCAGATCTCTTAAAATCTCATCGACAAGATTTGAAAGCTCTATAGCAAACCCTCGAGAGGTGCAATTAGTTGATTCTTGCTGTTTTATGATTTTTCTTATTACCAAGTGAGAACAAAACTGTTGAGTCTTGAAAGAATAGGATGACTCACCTACTTGTTTCAATTATGGGAAGATCGTTTAACATTATAACGCAAAGAACGTAGCGCCATTTTGGAAACACTCGAGCAAAACAAATTAAGCATGTTCATTTTCACAATATTCAAGAATATTTAGATTTAGATATAGTTGCAATGCTTTTCTTGGATAAAATTGAAAACAACTTTATCAAATGCACTTACTTTCGCTGTATGAACAATTTGGATCTGATACAAACTTATCACCGCGTACATCAGCTTTAGTATGCGTATTCAATAAACACGAAGGGGTCCCCTTCCCGTCGTCTGTCGGGCAATAGTTAAAGCTTCTGCAGTTAAAACTAGTCTCCTGCAGACAGGTTCTAGCACATGCTTCTTTGCCTATTCCATGTATAACTGTCTCTTCGTATCCAATCAGATAAGAAGCAGGATCTTCACGAAACTTGCCCAGAAACGCTTCTAATTGGTCAAAAAGAAGAAAATGAATACTTTAATGGGCCATCACTAACCATTTTTCATTTAGCCTAGGATTTACTTTTGGGGTTTTCTACATTTACGCGGTGACCTAATTAGGCTTGTAGGTCCAGGTTAATTTTCTTCTTGGCTAATGTTATGTCATGATCAGAACATAAAACAAACACTTTAATATAGGCTGGTACAATCTTAAATTATTTCATGACAGGGTCTAACGACTCTGGGTTAATTTACTCATGTCATATAGCCTACTGGTTATCATCAAAGCCTTCTTTTTAAAAGGGCGGTCGGTGAGTGTGACAAAGTACACGTTGAATATTCAATTACATTTTTCAAACTAAAACAAAAGTTACATAAGCTTACTTGAATAATGAGAACAATCGGTTCTGTTCACCATCACAGCATTAGTTGAATCTTTGTGCCTTGTATTAAGCGTACAAGATACAGATGATGGGCAATAGTCAAATGATTCACATTTAAAGTGAGTCTCATCGATGCATACTTTAGCACATGATTCTGCCGAGAGTCCAGAGTAAATCTTTGTCTCGCCTGGAAATGTTGTGAGAACTCGCCCTGGAGCCTTCTCAAAGTTGAGCGCGATGTACGACTCTGAATATAGAAATGACACAGTAGTATGGGAAAAGACCACGAAATAGTCGAAACATAGTTAGAAAAAGGAATAACCAAGAAACAAACCCCAAATATCCCAAACAATGATAATATACACGAAACTGTAACACTAAAGCAAATCAAAGCGAACAATCAAATATATGGGGCATAGTGCAGTTGTAAGCAATAAAGAAAGCAAGTCTATGTTCAGGGATAACCAAAAGAGAGAAGGTCATAGCATGATGTGTCCGAGCCAGAGGACCCATTTGAACTGAACTGAACAAAACTGACGTATCTGTTGAGATAAACCTCTGAACCCTTACTTGAATAATGGTCACAGTAACTATGGTTTCTGTATGAGCCTGTATTTTCCCCATCTGCTCTATGTTTATCACTCAGCATACACTCTCCGACGTTTGAGCAATAATCAAATGATTCACATTTTATCCTTGTTTCAGTTAAACACCTCATTGCACATTTCTGAAATGTTCAAGTCATGTGAGCAACATTGGCGGACAAGCATTATAACACACGGTACATATACTGTAGTTCCCCCTGGGCGTGTAAAATTAAATTTCAAGAAATATCTGCTAAGTGATGCTCTTGAAAACGAGAAAAGAGACGAAATAATCACATCTGAACTGATGGACGTATTATTATATGGCAAGTTGACACCATATCATCCTAAAGTGAGTGGGCAAGTTGACAGAATCCAGAACACGTGAGTCAACATAATGAGTTTGTTTTTATGCTTTTTGCCTATTATAGGATAAATGGGTGTTAATTCTATATAATATATCAACGGATATTTTTGTTTATTAATAGTTTTACCTGTATAGTTAGTCCGGTATCAACTGTCCATTTATCAACAAATAATACTCGACTAGCGTCCTTGGTGAATCTCCTAACATATGGATCTAAATAGAACACAATGGGTTTAAAGTGGGACCTCAAGAGAGACCCCCGTCTATATCTTAGGAGAAGAATTTTGTAAACCTCTTTTTGAGAAGTTGTCCTTATTCAAGCGAAATTTATATAAATTCAATATCTGAGACCCTTGTTAATAAGATGTCCAGCCAAGGCTACGCCACACACATTAGTCTATCAACACCTCATTATTAGGTACTGTTGCTGTGGCAATTTGTCCAATTTTCTCAAATTGCAAACTTTATATATAGAATTGTAATCATTAAGGTAGTGCACATGAAATATAATTTAGCATGGCATATGGTTTCTAATCTAGAAGCTCGTCCACCTGATATTGACAACTCACCATTAAAATTGTTGGGGTCTGTTGGGATGACCTTTCTTATTTCACTTGCTCCTAATCGCATCTAGAAAAAATCGTCAAACAATGGACATCGTGCATATAACCAAATGTCAATATTTTTAGAGTATGTCTTATGTTTCGGATCCACACGTCACATTAATGTGGAACTCTGGAACGTGTTCATGCATGAGAACTACCCACAATTTCGATATACAGTAGTATAGGGAGTTTAATACATCATAATGATATACACATTTATTTGTTTATATGATCCAAATGGATATGAATGATGGAATATACAGAATAATTATTCAAGTTTACCCCATATTTAAATTGGACATCAACTTGGCCACTGTAAACAAGATCCTGGATGATTCCATACAGTCTCTGAGCAGAGGGAACGATATAATCTTTGTTTCTACGTTCTTCAAGAACTAAAATGAAACGGTTGAATAAGTTTGTGCCTTCATAATACAATAATACTAAAATATCATATTAATCATCCTATTAGAAACATTGCATTGGCTGCTGATTGGCAACCAAAAAACATCTTATTATAATTTCACCTAAGAACATGACATTGCAATGTAATCACTTACTGATTGGAAGTGGTTGCACAGTTGCTTGGAAATAGACGTTATCATCATCAAAATCAATCTGCAAATGTATGGTAAATAATTTACTAATAAGCAGATAGAGAGGTGTGCACATTCAGAAAATATTTCTGGTTCAGGGCGTTTTTAAAGTACTAAAAGGTCCAATATTTCTTCATTCCAATTCATGAATATATTTTTGTTTATAATGTGTAACTGAATGGGACTTTCACCTGTAGAATGCTAATAAATTAGACATTTCTACATTTGAAATAATTTAGTGACATTTCTAAAAGAGTGCAAGACAGCGTACCTAAAACTACTTATAGAGGAGGGAGTTGAACTTACTCTAGAATTTGAGAATCTTAGCAGGGAAACTGGTTCCTCCTTGCTTTTCCTGGAGAGATTTGTCAAAGTCTCTATTACTTGATCTACCTGGTCTTCGTTCTGGATGAACTTATCTACAGCAGCTATAAAACACCGTTTCATAAAAACAAAGGGCAACATTACACAAACACTCGAGGACCTTAACTACCATTCTCAAGTCAGTTGGCTAATATTATAGATGACTTTGGAATATACAGTATAAGCGCAAATGCCAAAGGGAAGGGTGACTAAAAACTTTAAAGAAACCCAACAAGAAAAGCAAACTGTAAGTGTAAATCTGTCATAAGGAAAGTAGACCATATATATCCCAAAACCATGATCTAACGTGAAAAGAAACAATGTCTAACACCCCCCCCCCCCCCTCCAATCGAGAACCAATATCACAATCCAGGACCAGAACACCAAGGGACATTTCATTCATACTGAAGTAATAATAAGGAAAGTGTGGTTTGAATTTTAAAATATCCACTGTTCATTTATATGGAACTCTATCCAGTTCATGGTTATGCTATAGGTAACACTGGACAAACCTTCGACATTATAAAACATCCAGTGTCCCTTAGTGCCCTGCTCTGTCGAAACAGCCATATGTCTTGGACGGAACATTGCATCAGTGTCTTGCCACTGGATCAACATTGAACTCGATCCTTTAACGAGCCCACTCCCTAACTGAAAATATACAACATGACGGTGTATTAGCCTGGATTAATTTTCCATTCATAATCCTGTTTTCCAGGGAACGCAACGGCACAAAGACGAGAATTTTAAATATTTTATGCAATTTATTAGTCCAACCTGTACTAAGCCATTCTCCCAACTCAGCCAAAAGGTTCGTCTTTCTGTGCAGCTTAGGACATTGGGAGTGTTTTGTGTAACCTTGGCATCAGTGTCACGTCCTGCCCTAAAAGTTGATGAAATTAATGAACCAATGCACTGGATGACTCTAACTGCAGTTAGTATCACTCAAGATGGTAGCCAAAATTCTTTCGTTTTCACTAAACCTCCAATTTCAGCTAAATTAAGTTGTATCTTGATTCCCTATGTCTCGCCGTATGCAAACTTTGGAATCCAGATTCAACTTAGTTAAGCTGAAATCGTCGGTTTGTCATAAACGAAAGAATTTTGGCCACCATCTTGAATGATACTAATTGCAGTTAGAGTCATCCAGGTGTGAAATAGTGGGCCTATGGAGACCCTCTATTACTCTGTATTACTCCAACCTCATTTGGAGAGAGGAGACAACAATATGCATTTATTTATTTACAAAATCGACCACATTTACCACTATTGATATCAAATTCAAAGAAGTCCCGACTCATATCGTGTTCGTAAAACTAACGTAAGCTTATTAAAAAGGGATAAAACACGAACCTTATGATACAAGCACTGTTACTAGCTGTTCCTATGACAATCTCATAAAGTTTGCCTGTGAGGTCATTCCACTTGTCTGTTAGCACAATGTGAGCATCTTTACATGCCATAAGTTGGAACAGAACTGTCCGAGAGGGCTGCCATTTTATGTCAGCAGCCAAGAACTTGTAAATATAGTTAGGGGGAGAGTGAACAACTATTGCATCTGCAAAAGAGAAAGGATGGCACAGTATTAAATTGACACTCAGACCATAAGTCTACATGGTACTAACCTGCATAGATACGATACCCAATTCAATTGTCCTCCACATGACATAAACCGAATCAAGGATGAAGTATCATCGTATATTAGGGAGATTAAGCTCCATGTTTTTTGGAGAAATTGCACATGGGCGTGTAAGATTAATGTCCTCGATGAATTAGTACCCTTCATAGTATTTACTTGACCGATTGAGTCTAAAGGTAAAATCAGAGACATATCAAACATGTTTATATGTCTCTGGTAAATGAAAATAGTTAGGTCTCTTGAAAAACAATTGGATGGGGACTTTCTTGGTCTTAGTCTTACAATGAGGTGGCATCTTAAAAGATCAGACCTTGCACAACCATTGTGTAACGGTGTCAATCTGAATACTTTATGTAAGGCAAGAAAAATATCGTGATTTGTTCTCATTAGTTGACACTGACTTAATTGTATTGCTTTAGTAACCGTTATAATCACTTAAAAGAGTAAAACGTGCAATCCTCATCCTTTGTAAAGTTATACAATCAATAGCCTAACCTTGAACATTTGTACATTACCACTATTTATAGCCCTTTTAGAAAAATTCATCCTTCAACATAAAGGTGAAATGAATATATATTTACTTGGCATGTCCACTTTCCAATAGCCAGCTGCCTGGACATTTGCTGTTCTTACTGCGACGGATGTTACCAACATAGGATCGGGATCTTGATATGACATAAACACACCGTCATTCCCAGACGACCCTAAAAGACAGATATCAAGGCATAGAGCAAACACTTCTGCAGCTTATCATGACATCATCCAAGTAAAGGAATTTTTGTTGGGACCTGAGGGTAGTCCATTAATACCTTTGCGCTTAGACTGAATTTTAATATACGCTTGATGAAACTGGAAAGAAATATCACAAACAAATTGCCTATACATATTTATATTTATTAGACTTATGAGTTGTATTCACGAACCTGTCCCAACTTGTATGAGACCATTATTGATACCGATCCAGAATGACCGGAAGACATCACAAGAAAGGATACCATTGGTTGCCACTTTAGCAACAGGAGGTACTGGTTCCTGCTGGAGGTTGATCGTGCTAAACTGATTCAAATCAGATCCTGAAACAGAAATATATATGGTATCATTTGTATAAGCACTACTGTCTTGAAGTCATTGATGTAGATCTCTCGCGTGTAGTCTTTGGATTGTTGATTCAATTCAAAGTGCATATGATACTCACCAAGGATAACTCTGTATGTTTTGATATTTTTCCAAACACCCCACTTTTCTGTGAACATGATCTGTGCATCCATACACGTCTTAACCCGGAACTTAAACACATTCTTCTGCCACAGAGATACTTCTAGGAAAGTATATTCAAAGCCCCGTTCGGTTCGTGTTGAAATAGTCCCTGTATGTAAAAGAAAGCAATGTTATTAAAGTATCGCTAAATACCTGTGAATAGGCATTCTGAGTCCTTTTTATCCATTGCTTGAGATATAAGGTATAAGCAAAACCTCTTTTGCATTCTGCTTACCTCTAGGAAAAGTGATTTGCATGTTAACATTCTGTTCCTGCGATTTTTGACAACTAGATACATCAAAGTCTTTTAAATTGGGACGATTTGCATTGAAATTGAACATAGTCACTGGGAGAGTTGTTCTTCCCTGGAAAACATGTTAAACAATACAATCAGTAACAATTATGATTAACATATTATTATTATGTTATTATGATTATGATTAAACATATTGTATTGTTTAATGCTATAGCATTGTGTCACATATAGAGCGCCAAAAGAGGAAACCAAAAAAACATTTCAAATCGGAGTAAAAAATGAGATATCTAAAACCAAAACTAGGAAAACAAACCCCCAAATATTCTGAATTATGATCTTTTGGAATATTTGTGATCCTTTTCGACTAAAACTGTGTTAAAGATTTCTGAAAGAAGTATATATAAAGTTTTGCCTCTCCTATTTGTCTTGCATATTTTTGGATTCTGGCTTAGCTCATGAATGTACTAAAAAAACTCACCGCAGGTGGAAGGTCGACGTTTAGTTCAAGCTTCATTGGCTCTGGATAGAAGTAACCTTCGTACTCAGTTTTCTTCACCTTCCACGCTCCCTACATATAATATATAATATAATGTAGAATAATATAATATAATATAATATAATATAATAGGATATAGTATTATAACATAACGTAGTGATATATGTTAGTGTTAATGTACTTATCACATGTGAGACGTTAATAAATGAAACATTTGGAAGAGAAAAATGTATGTCATTTTCTAACCTGATTTTGTACATTATCGTGGTGCAGTATTTCAATTACTTTTTAGGCATCGTTCAACACAACTTATCCTTTTACTTCCAAATGATTTGACTCTTTTGGAAAATATACACTTTCATGTTACTTACCGTCGACCGATACCATGTCCTCACAAAATTAGTATCCGAGGTAGATTTATCAAACCTTTCAGTATCCACAAGACCGTCACGTATGGTAGCCTACAATGTTAATTTCATGTTCTTGAAGTTTCTCGTACCTCCATTTGACAGACATGCATCAAGACCCCTATCATAAATATCCCCTCCTCTACTCAAATTACACCTGGGGTGGAGTAGACAAGGTACCTTGATACTGCAATATTTAATGAATTACACCAAACATTAACGCTTGCGATGGATGAGCTCTTTACTTTTGTGATAAATAACAAAACATTACGCACTGGTTTATCAGCCATTTTGAAACCAGTAAAATTGAAGAGATTTTGCAAGTCAATGTAGATGTCGTCTGTGATTGGGATGTTCCAACCTTGTGACGTATCCACTCGAGATGCAGAGCAGCTCCCATCACTTAAATATGTTGTGAATACGATACCTACAAAGTAAAATGTCACTTGACAAAGTCTCCCAGGCCTGTTGTAATAGTTTACTGTCACAATGGAATAACCATCCACTCGGGTCGGAAAGGAAAAAAACAAATGTGCTGCCTTTAGATTAATATTTATAATACATTAATATTAATAAATATATATATATATATAAGCCCAATAGGGTGAGAGAAAATAATCTCTGAAGATTTTCTTTCACTTTACTTTTATTTATTTAGATTAAATTATAAAGTAAAACAAGGACTATGTTATGACAGAAGTGCTAAAGAGGTAAGACAAAGACCTATTTTTTTTAATTAGCAAGGGAACATTTTGAGTGGTCTGTCACAAGGAACCAAGTCCAAGCATAATAATTTAAGATAGTAAATTATCATGTTTACTTACTTGAATAAAAATCATATATTTCTCTAACTACTCCATTTGAAGTGCTTTGATATTGTTGTCGATCCATTCGTACTACTTTTCTATACTTGTCGTATTGGATCTGAAATACACAATTAATTTCACGTAGTTTTGCACAATGGTCCTTGGCATAGACCCCTTTCCAGGGGATAAGCAAGGAACTAACAATAGACGAGGCCAGTTAGATCGTAGATATTAAGAATCAATTCCATCGTTTTAGTTTCCAAAAACATCTTAATCTATATTATTATTAATTAATGGAACATTTTGGCGATCAAGGGTACCCCAAAGGTACCCAATTCTCTCGTCCTTTCTCTGGCCTGATGTAAATGTAATCATTTCCACGTGCCAAGATGGTAAACACAGGTTGCAGGGGATTTACATTACTTACATCTTTACTCACATGCATTTATCTTATTAAAGTGAAGCGTTTTAGGTAAATCGACGATTGCTCTTAAACAAACATGTCTCGGTAGAGTGATGGTATTTATTCTGATAAATGGTCACCTAAATATATCTTGACCACATTACAATCGGGATTGCAAGTCGTTTCAGCACCCAATATGTATATGAAGTTGTACGAATTAAAAATTAAATGAATGTGTATGATTGATTAGATAATACATATGATATTCTGTGAGGAATTGATATTAAATATAAATGGATATGAGGGTTTGTGCCTGATTGTGCTAAAACACAATTTGGAATATTTCTAACAAGTAGCAACTTTTAGTTCAGGAAATAAAAATTTCAATCTAAATAAATACATACTTCTTATAAAGAAACCTTAAAAACAAACATTGTTAATGTGAGCATGTAAATTTTTGTTCCATTCTTTAGGATAATGAAAAGAGATTTCATCATTCTCTAACAAGTTTTCACACTTACGTTAGCATAATGTATTTCTTTACTCGAAGGTATGATCAATTCTACAGCGGTCGCAAAATATGAGTCGAGATTTGGTTCCTGGTTCTGAGAGAGCGCCCCACAGCTTAGCAGCAGCAGAATAGCAGTTGTGTACTCCATTTTGTAAATAATGCTAAAATATAATCAATCATAAAATAATTATACTTTGTTTTGGTTTTGAATATTACAGGTCACTCATTTTATTATTTCTGGGTATTTTGTTTACAATTCTGTGATCTTCTTTTCACTTTCCAAGACTAATACATCAGAATCCACTAAAGCTTTGGATGATTTCAGGACTAAAGTTTTAGGACTAATTGAGTTCCTTGAAATACGTTTGTTAACTAGATAGTTTATAACAATTGCCATATATTAACCAAGAAAGATTGAATATGTTGTCTCTAAAAAGGTGATATTAAACTATACATTTCTTTTATTTGCATCGATACAGGCTATATTTAATTATAAAATAGAATGTAACTTACCCGATTTAAAACAAAATGCCTGAGATCAATAAATAATCCAAAAATGCATTTATTTAAAGTTTATGTTTTTGCATCCTCCATTAACGTATAAAGCATTATAAAATATCTTAACCCATATCTTAAGGACAATTCAGATCTTCTATTGTCTTTTAAAATGAGACATAAGTGTATTCACTTACGAAAGATACCAAATTTATATTTTAAGAGTCTTTATCATCAAAACGTTGTGAGATTACAATGCCGTGCAATGTACCTGATATTTCTATTAATGATTAAAGAATAGATTGGTACATACTTTTTGTGACTGTGAGAATTTGTAAGGATAAGCAGGCCATATTGAAATAAATCGTCGAAATCAACAGTTTGGCGAGGCAAATGCATATAGGCGAGGCAAAAGGCCAAAAGAAGTATATTACTACCCTGGAGCATTCGATTGAAATTTCTGTAAAACGTTTTTAAGGCCATTGCCTCGCCTTCCTGGCTTCACCCGTGCTATAGCTCAATTCCACTACGGTACGATTCCAAAATGCTTACAAACAGGGGTGTTGCACTTTTCAGGCTTCTTTCTAAGAGCTTTCTAGATACATTTGGAGCAATATTTCATGGCTTATAAATTTCTTTTCTGGTTGATCTTCGATTAATTTTTCAACCCTGTCGTTCCTTTATAATTGCAGTACCAACTTTTCACCGTTCATTCACTATCCAGGTAATTTTACTTGTTTTGACGTTATCAATGGTCAACTACAATCTTACAAGAAATGTTGTAGCAGTTTTATTAGGAAGAGTTGATTATTGATTCATTATTATTATTAAGGGAGATTACCATTTCCATTCAGCTTTAAAATGATATATGGGGAAGTATGATAACTTTAAAAATAAAAAAAGTTAAGGGGGAAAGACTTATTTGACGCCCCCCCCCCTCCCTGGGACGCCCTGTACAGTATATTGTTTGTTGCAATGAATGTCTCAATAGTTTAGTCAGCATTTATTCATAATTAGGATTTTGTATAATGGTTGACGTTCCTGTTGTCTGCATATATCTGAAAAATATTGAAAAACTCGCTTACTAATGATTATTTGTCAAAATTGGAAAGTTTATTTACGAAACGGAACTGAACATAGAATTACGATAAACCTACGTCAGGGTGATGCCACAACTGAAACATTTGTTTTTAATTGGATCCACTTTTGAACAAAAGAGCAATACACTTTTGTTTGGTGGTAATTTAGTAAATGACAAAATTAAAGGTAGTGTATTAAAAATTTTCACTAACTTTCTCTGTGAAATAATGGAAATTATTTGAATTATTAACTGAACAGTTTATAAACTCTTATCAGCTTTTTTTCAACAAAAATCCATCTGTAATAATTTATATATTGTTAATCTTATATACAATGTATATGTTTTCCAATAAATGAACCATAAAACTAAAAATAGCCCTACAGTACCTCCGACGTCTCCAAAGGATGAAGCCAATAACGAGGGCGACTACGATGACAACAATAAGTCCAACAACCACTCCAACAATAACGCCTATAATATAATAATAAATCAAAACCATATAACCAGTGCTAACATCAAGAACGTTTTAACATGTAAATATGACTATTTCTACTCCTTTCTGCATAATGTAACAATGCATTTAGAAGGATTGAATACTTTCTGGGAATACATCTACCTTGATGTCTAATATTCAAAATATTTTTAATTTTACTGAAGCCCTGGAGTCCAAGGAATTTTAAACCTCAGACTAGTCATATTTATTCAGTCATCATTTTACAACAAAACATGTAACTCCCCTGATAATTAAAGGACACATCTTGAGAAAATAGCTTTTACCTGTACTGTTGCCTTTTGCACCAGTCTTTCCTGTTGAGCCCTGAGTTGAGGGTACGTCTGTGAATAACGTAAACGCGGGAACAAACCTTGTAGTCTGTCGCCCTGTGTTTGGCAGTGTGAAGGGAGGAACAAATCTTGTCGTCTGTCTCCTTGTGTTTGGTAGCGTAAATGGGGGAAGATATTGGGTAGTCCGGCGTGAATTTGGTAAGGTGAAAGGCGGAATGAATCGTGTAGTTGACTGATTGGGTGGGGTTGGTGTTGTTGGTTTGTTGATATCTGTAATGATCGATTTTAAATCCTTTTTGTTATACTCAGTTACTGTTAACTTTTTCATTGTTATATGGAGATATAAGACATCATCATATATGTGACGGAAGTGGAGATTTTTCACTTTCAAGACTGGATCTTCCTGAGAAAATACAGGGTGCTTCAAAATGACCGTCCCTCCATCAAACCCCTGGCAGATAACTCCATGGGATATGCATAAGATGGAAGTTTAGACTTATTTTGATTCAACTCAGTTATAAAGAACTACACAGATAGTTGTTTTCAGTGATCAATTATGCCCGTATTGTAGCCTTTACGCCCAGAAATAAATTATTTTCATCATACATATAGTATGTATTATCAAAGACGTCTATCTCATTATAGGGCATTTGATCAAATATCGGCTATGGATGGGAACAGTCATTATTAAAACATCCATCCATAAATCATTTACTATAATTTGACCATTTCTGAACCAACAAAATGTATTGATGTAAATACTAAGATTTTTACTAGATAGCATGCCGCGGTGAAATGTTTACCTTTTTCACAAATGTAGTTATATTTCGTTTCACATGGTTCATCGTACCAGCCTATGAAAAATCCACCAATAGATACACAGTTCTGGTCGTCCCCTGGACTTCCAGGTTGGGCAATAGCCCAGTCCCTGAAAAAAATCCAAAGAAGTTTATCAGTATAAAAGTAAATCTAAGAACAGTTTTTGTGATCGTTTAGATTGCGTGTTTCCGTATACATTACTTAGTCATTGTAGGTATATGATGTAGGCTACATACGCTATGGCATTATCCCATGGCGTTCCGTCAACCCAGGTGAACTTTTTTTCACCACCAGTATCCACCGCCCCGATCCAAGATTTTCCAGAACCATTATCTTTAACTATCCTTTTTATGAAGTTCTAGAAAAACAAGAGTAAGAAAAGAGCATGAATTTTGAATGAAAAATAAAAATCTTTGTGTCGATAATCATTGTCAAAGAATAAATGATATAGGCCTCTACCATGCATGGGCATGGCCGAGCATTTGCCTCATCCAAATTTTAATGAAAAAGTAAAAAGTGAAAATGATGTCTTTAGAATAATACCATTATATCTTCATTATCTCAAGGCTGCCTTGCCTCAGTAAAAAAAACAGTAATAGAGTTCTAAAGCATTACCATTTCGTTCATACGAGATAGAGACAGAATATTCCAAGAATTACCCTTTCGTCAATATCCCCTATGCAGACCAAATTCGCTCCATAATTTTTGCAGGCTTTCTCTGCGCGTTGCCAGCTTATCGGAGGGAATACAGAGAACATGTAGCAATTCCCATTGTTCTCCAACCAGTTTTCATCAGGACAATTTAGTGCAACTACAACACAATCATATCAATAAATGGGCTTAAGGACCAAAGCAATCAAAATGGAAAGGATTTCCTTCATTTTGGTCCATCAAAATATTTTGATTGAGGGTTACGCAGATATACGAGGGTTGTCCCAGAAGTAATGCACTATATGCTCTAACTTTCTTTAATATTCTTCAATTCAGCTGAAATTATGTATATATAACAATTGATGTTTTATCTATTACTCCTGAAGTTTCAACATCAAACATTAAGATTAACTGTTAATATAGTTGCTATAACAACATGGGGGTAGAGGTGGGCGGGGCAGGTACCAATTTTTCTAATTATGAAAAGATGTAAAGTGTTATTTTATTAATATTTCTTTCCTTTAAATGATCAAAATGTTTGAGAAATTGTTAAATTCATTCAGCATGATGTTAATCAAGTACAAATAATGACATTAAGCACTGTGATGTCATAATACCACATTTCAATAGTCACGAATTCAAATACAGTCACGGTCAAGAAATTACAAAAATGGCTGCAATTCTCACCTGATAACAGAGGGCCTTGCTTTGGATGGCCTAATTTCATATTACACAGCCACGCAAAACTTATGCTACCATGAAGAAAGTATATAAGGAGTATATACCAGATAGAACTACAATTATGAGGTGGCAGAAGAGATTTAAAAGAGATGATTTGACCCTGGATGACAACTCCAAACATGAGAGGCAAAAACTCCACAAGTCACGGTGGAAGAAATTACCACAAAAGAGTGTTTGACCTGACAGGCATCAAAAGTACATAACATGCAAAGGGCAATATTTTGAGAAAATGTGAAATGGGACACAGTGCAATATACATCCATTAAATCTAAGATGTGCTCATAGTAATCAGTAATTTAGTATCTTAAAATGTATTTTTGAGCATACTTCTTATAGCTACACAAAATGGTATTTGTTGATTAATTATTTCATATTTTCAATTTTTGTTCCTCTTGACGTGACTGTATAACCTGCCCCACCCTACCCAAACTCACCGAATTGATTTTATTATAACATCAATATAGATTTATCAGTCAACATGAAATTTTGTGGAATAATCAAAATGTCTCTAAGGAACATTTACTGAAAATTTCATGGAAAAATATCAATCATTTATAAAGTTAGAGCATATAGTGCATTACTTCTGGGACAACCCTCGTATACCCATATTTAAGAAAATAAAAACCTAATGGTAACATGTCGTTCAATAATTCCGACTTCAGGCCATTTTTTGGTAAAATTCATTCTCGTTGACTAAGGATATAGTGATTTGGTTTTCTGAATAAAAAGTCATTTTCTCCTTCCCTACCCCATTGGAGCGCCATCTAGCGTTTGGGAAGTAAATCGGGAATAAATATTTATAGGGTAGGTCCTAATTTATCTGAAAACATGTCAGAGTTCAGTGGGAAATCTCATTTTAAGCTGGCGGCGGAGTGATTTTGACCTTGGTGATTTTACCATTATTCTCTGATAAATCTGACGATAGAGGGGGTTAGTGTCTTCAAGTTTATTTATTTCAAAAATTCGGTGGACAACCCATGGTAAGATTGTTATAGCAGGCTAGGCGAGTCTCTCCCGAACACTGTGGTATGTTGCACTAGGCTTGGATACTAATCGTTAATAAGTTACAGGGTAAAATGTTATAATGGCCACCTATGGGAAACTCTACTGTGATCTTCAACCTAAATAATGATATTCTGTATAAGACCCCGTTTTATCTTTGAAGCAATATTAGCTTTGTTTATCCAACTGGAACACATTGAACAATAGCAATAAGCTATAAGAATAACCGTTCATCAAAATATGTGTTCCATTGTAAAATGATGGAGTATTCTAATGAGTTTGCTACTCATTAACATCGAAAACAAACTGATATACATGTAACCTACTAAATTTGTCATTATTCAAAATCTAAAAATGAAATTATACTCATATTAACAGATACAAAAACAACGGCCAAAGGAAAAGGTCCAAAAAATGTTACAGAACCCAGCAAGAGGCAAAAATGTAAATGCGCACTAGTTATAAGGAAAACAAACCCCAACTATCCAAAACTATAATCCAACGTGAAAATAAACAAAAGTAGATATTTAAAAAAAGACATTGGCAGTACTCTGAAATATCAATACCTACCGGCAAACAATATACAATGTACAGCACTTAGCACTGAGAAGATTAGATTAAGTCCATCCATAGTATGATAAAATAAAAACACATTAGCGATTATTACGTATAAGTATGCTTATGCCTGCGTGACAAATCTGAGTTTTTCGAATCCAGTAAATTATAAGAACTAAATTACAAGTTTTGTTATGATATATGTAACATTCCTCTTTGCAAATGTTAATACATAGTTCATGTGCATACTTGCGTATTGTTAACTAATTTAAGATATAATTCATATTTTATCTCTGGTAAGCATCGTTATGTTGACATCAACGAGCCGAATATTATAAATTAATTTTCAAATTTCAATATAGTTCATAACGTCAAAATGTTAAGGGCCATAGACTTAGGGCATCGTTTAGGAACAACTTTGGGAAACAACAAGTTTCATCAGTATCTGTAATGAGAACCCTCTCTAAGAGGTGTGATTTGATATGTGTAAGATACAAAACATTGAACCGAACGAAAGAAATATTTTATGAAATATATTTCTTTATTATTTCCATGCCGGCCGTGATACTAGTTCTCTAATTAGTCTATTAGATACCATGTGACTAAAAATAGATAGAGGTATTCGGTGAATACACCTTCAGAAATATATATACAGATATTCAATCCACAGAATTCAATATTTGTATAATATTAGGGGTTAACAATGATAACGTGTACCTGGTATGTACGTCACCAACATTATAAATTCTACCTAACCCCCCTATCACACCAAACTAGTTCTTACCCGTTCTTGCCAGTCCTACGAAAACGTCGTAAAACGGGCTCAAACTGACTGTGGTCGGGAAATATGTCTAAAATAATTAGCTACTTCGTTCATAAACAGTCTTCAATACGTCTATCTCATTCGCAGTTCGTTCAGGTCGCACCACGTCGGTGTGCAACGTCGTATAACACGTCCCTTAGTCTAGAAGGTCATCATGACCTGATTACAGAACGGTTTGGTCGCCATCAAATTTTGAATCATTTCTAAATCACCTTCCCGTCTGAGAACGTTCATGAAGTTCGTAAATAGTCCTTAGAAAGTTGCAGCTACGTTCATTCCGTTCGCACACAGTTTAAAACTAGTTTTGAAGAACGCAGTGGCAACTTGTTTGGTGTGATAGCTATATTTTTGCAAACTGTTTTGCAATTAGTTCTACCTCGTTCTCAATACGTCCACAGACAGTTCAACTCGCTGTAAAAAACGTCCCTAGTAGGATTGAAGTACGACGGTTGCATTTTGAGCATGTTCTAAGTTCTAGAGGACCTACCCGTTCAAATACGTTCGATGAAGTTTGTAAATAGACCCGAAACGGTTCTAAGTACGTCCAGTCCGTTCGTACACAATTGAAACCCGTTTTCGAGAACGTAGTGAGAACTAGCTTGGTGTGATAGCAAGGTAAGCTTATCCATATAAGTTTTGGGCCGTTATAAAGATGGCAATAGTGTTGTTATGGCAGTGGTGAAGTTCCGTTATTCATGTGGACTGCACTGCCATCTTTTTATGAACATGCCCATGGAATGGTACCTCGTTCAGTGCATTGCAAAAATTGACTCCCGAGTATTGACGTTGTCCTTGGTTTGTCCTTGATCGCACAAATGTACTGAACGATAAAGAACGTAAAATTGGAGTTATGCTCCACGTGTTTACCCTAGTTGGCTCTAGTTTGATTCATGATGCTTTATTGAAATGTTGGAGAATGAAAATGTGTCAAAGCTTGAAAAGATTCGATATTGCTATTATGAATAAAAAGCACTCGCATTGAAACGATCTATTGCGTATAATTCTGTTTTCTAATATGTGAATGGAAAAAGATCACGCAGACATAGATTGTTTATATCACCTTATACACATCACATGCTAGAGTCCATGTTTACTTCAGGTGTATGGATAAATATATGAACTTCAGAACCTTTTAACAAAAACGACAGGGTTACATATTAACCAGATTTTTGGATAAAGGGATCCTCGTGATGCATTTCTAATTGGTATATTGATAATCGTAATCAAATGTGATCAATATTGATATCAGGTGTTCCGATTAAGTAGTACTAAACGCCACAAGTGTAATATACTTATTGATACTCCCGACACGGACTACCAGAAAAGGAACATATTACCCAGCTGATCTTTTACGAGGATTTACTATAACAGTCTTGATAATAAAATATCATACGTATTTCTGTCTGGGAAGACACTCCAAATTGTATTATACGCAGAAATATACATCTATGAAGGAAACACTTTAGGATGAAGATCGCCGTGTTTGGGGCGACTGGTGCCACTGGTCAGTCAGTGGTCTCACAGGCACTGGCAGCAGACCACCAAGTGTTAGCGCTTGTCAGGACTCCGGCTAAGCTCAAACTCACACATGAAAACCTAAAGGTAAATTTCACATAAGAAGACAAGGGCTGATATGAATTCCTGCGTACTGAAAGCTAAAAGATAAAAGTTTTACCAGTCACTTTTTGATATTTTGTCTTGTCACCGTTGTCCTAGAAATGATGGAATCAGTAGTCACATGTCACGGTACACGTATTTCAGTACTAATTAGATGTGTACAAACATTTTTTCAATAGCCAAATGTAAAATGGACCACTCAGTCAAACAAACTGATTTTTAATGTACAGGTGAAGTAGTTCTTCCTAAATCTGAATCTCAGGTGCCTCGTCTCCAAGTGGCTGGGATATTGTCATCGGATCAGTTGTCTTGGCAACATTATCATAGATTCAGGCTAGAAAAGGCTTTAATAATGACATTTTTATGCTTTTTCGATATGTACCTTATCTGAAATGCAACATCATGCCCCGTCACTATAGTTATGATGCAGTCACTAGTTGTTATGATTATATAAACTGACATGTGTTGCAGGTTGAAGAAGCAAACATCTTTGATGTTAAATCCATAGAGCCTCGTCTCCATGGTTGTGATGCTGTCATCAGTTGTCTTGGAAACAGAAGTTTGAGTAGGGCTCCAACTAATACATACAGTGAGTCTATGAAAAACATAATCAAGGCCATGGAGGAATCTGGTGTGAGAAAACTAGTGACGATGACATCTTGGAATACCGACGGCAGTAGTAAGCAAATACCTTATCTTTTACGGGATTGGATATCAGGAGATTTTGGAATATTCATTTTATTTGTTGCTTATCTCACAGGGCAAAGTCTTATTCATGGAATAAATATCACTCAATCTCAATTAAATGATATCAGAAATTGATTTTAATTCACAGACTTTCATAGCATTATAACCTGGCATTAAAGTTCTTTATAACCTGTTCAGAATTACAGGATTAGTTCAGTTTTCTAATATACTTCATCAATTTCAGAACCTCCCGGGCGTGATACAGGAATAAGTGGGATGATGATAGGTTTATTTCTTTGGATTATAAAACCCACTTTGGAAGATATGGTGCGTATGGAGACATATCTAAGTAGTCTTACAGAGTCAAGCGTCAAATGGACGTGTGTCAAACCATCCGGCCTGACAAACAAGCCGTCCACAGGTAATAGTCTTGCATGAAATAATCAATGTTTTTCCCTCTCCAGTCCAAAGATTTTTGAAAAATGCTTTGAATGCAATTGTCGCTGTAAATGCTATAAACATTGGACATATTTGGGCTCATTAACAAAAACCTATTTTAACATAACGTCATTACAGCCATGGTAACCATTTATTTTGGAATTCTTAACTTAATGGATTACTTAATGGCCCTCTAATTTATTACAATACATTTAGATAAGTTTCCAATTCCCTTATTTAAGACTGTCAATAGATGGCGAAAAATTCACATGGTTCACTTGTATACCTTAACAAATTGAATTTCAATAAAAAATATATAAAAAATATCCAAAACCTTATAGTATTAAACAACCCACTCAGCTTGTGTTTCCTGTCAACACATGAACTATGGCAAAGAAACATCATGAATAATCATGGCCTTCTATAAGCTTCACAAGAGTATGTTTCTGGTTGAAGACAGAAATATGTGATGAGTATCAGAATAGCAAAGAAAGCACAATGAATGTAGTATATCGTTTTGAAAATGAGAGAGGATGGACTTTGACATGCTACTTTCTCGATGAGCAATTTTGTTCATTCAAGCTTTGATATTTTCAAGAAAGAACGTTTATACGAAGGTCTTTAAAAAATGTAAGTTGTAGATCTGAATAGACCTTTCCAATAAACCCTGCCACGCCACCCTTTTCTTTATCAGGGAAGCTATGATAAATTGGCAAGCTTGATGACGTCATTGGTTGTACTTTTTCAAAATTAGCAATAAGTTAATCCTTTTCTATCTGCGTGGACAGATTGTTACCTACGACCAATGACATCATCAACTTAACTAATACATCAAAACTTATTTGACGTACTAAAAGATGACAGGGTTTATATTCTTGGAAAGGTCTATTTTAAGAACAATTCAGGAAAACGATATGTAACCAACGTTGACTGAGACAGGTTAGACAATAAAGATATCAGAAGGACAGTGCATAGAGGAGTGCCAATTTTAGATATGCAAATATGATGTTTTATTTAGGATAAGAGTTAGAACCAGTGCCCCTTTAATAATTATTTTTCAGGTCAAGAAATCAAGACAGCAGAAGGACAGTACGTAGAGGGGTGTCAGATGCAAATATCCAGAGAGGACGTCGCAAAATTCATGCTGAACACTGCAACAACAGATGATGAACTGTTCTCAGATCAGACAGTGGCAATAGGAATTGAGGAAACCAAATAGATATGATATGAATGTGCGAATTTAAACATTGCATAAGAAATTGTTTTGCGAGTGCAATATATCATCAGTCATAACGTTATCATGTACTCTACCTTGGGGATGGACCATTTTTACACCGTTGCTTTTTGCTAAAATAATATCTAAACCGGCACACAAATGTCGATCGCATTATTCATGTCAGCGTAAATATATATTTTGATAATTATCTACTTCAATGCGTCGTACCACGTCGTAATCCCTTGCTTACTGTGACCATTTGAATAAAAACACTATGCAAAGTGTCCTAGAAGTCCACACTTTAGGTGTAAGATTTTGGAGGAGTAGGATGAGGAGGGGAATGGGAGGTGTAGGAGGAGGGGAATGGGAGGAGTAGGAGGAGGGAATGAATGAAATGAGATTCACCGCCCAGTCTTTAGTTTATTGAAAAGTAATTATAAGTTTCTACAATGTTATTTTCCTGGCCAGACCTTTCATTACATTTCTTTTATAAGTATCATGGCTTCTGTCAAGATAGTAATAACAAAATTCAAATGTACATTTTAAATTATACTCTAAACATAAACAAAATGCATTATATTTAGATAAAATTTATGATATGAAATATGCGCTAAAGTATTGAAATGTCCTGTAACATTACTTGCACTAAACTGAACTGCGTTCTAAAAGGGCGTTCCCCACGTTCCTAAATTGGCCCAAACTGTTCTCAATTCATAATGATCTGCATCATCTAGTCTTTGGTATAAACCACCTTTTCTGAAAATGAAACAGCTTAAAAAAGAGGCCCTACATTGTAAGTAGCATGTATTACTAGATGTTCCTTTGCATGTAAAAGAGTGTCACTGTTACAAAAGTGTAGATAGAAATAAATAAATATATTAATAAAATAAATAAATAAATATTATTTCACTTAAATGTCACATGTTAGTGTTTATATCAGGCGATAGATAATTATACGAATTAGAGAGCTTTGTGTATGTCACACAAGTAGAAGTGTTACATATTATCTCTAAACTTTGGATGAAGAAAATCTTGTTACATAATTTTAAGTGATACATGTAGATTGTATAACTCCATTATGTTATGATATTACTCTTTGAATTGCAGAAAAAGGACACATTAACTCAACTGAATTTTACGAGGGTTAACTCTAGTTATTGTATTATAACATATTCATATTTACGTATTTCCATCTCGAAGAAACGCCAGGGTGTATTATCGTACGCAGAAATACACATATAAGAAGGAAACACTTAGGATGAAGATCGCAGTGTTTGGGGCGACTGGTGCCACTGGTCAGTCAGTGGTCTCACAGGCACTGGCAGCAGACCACCAAGTGTTAGCGCTTGTCAGGACTCCGGCTAAACTCAAACTCACACATGACAACCTAAAGGTAAATTCCACAGAAAACAAGTCTTTAAAGTTTTTAAAACACAAGGATCTGTAGTGGTATTAACTTATTCCATTTCTCGTGTAATCTTTCTAATGCCTCATCTCAGTTTAAATGCCGTCTTTAGGTTATTAGTACGTAGCCTTGTCTTTTTGCATGCGCATCCTTTCCCATTTACACAGGCTGGTATCGAAAGATTTGTCCGCTGTGACGGAGCATGTTATTTTCCATAAAAACACCAAGAACTCTTATGTTTCGTTTCGTTCGTTTCCAAAGAAAATTACTCACTCCATACAATGGATATATCATTTGCGGGTTACTATCACTTCTGTTTGAAGTCCCATAAGGATGTAACGCTAGGAGGAAAAAATGTTGAAAATGGCGCCGGAGTATCATAGTCAAAAATGTTCCATTTCTTTTTTAACTTTTTAATGGCACTATAACTTTACAGTGACATGATAATATTTACATATGTTTTCAGCATAACTCTGAAGGTATTAATGAGATATTGATATATTGGGTCTTTTTAATTTTTTGTCCTCTGTGACGGAGCAGTTTCAAATGTGAATTGTGAAACTACTCCATCACAGAGGTAAAAAATTAAGCATTATTTTTCAAAATTAAGAAGACCCAATACATCCACTGATACTCTGGCGCCGTTTTCAATAGCTTTTACTCTAACCTTTATTGGACTTCAAAATTAAGTGAAGGTTACATGCAAAGGATATATCCATTGCATGTAGTAAGTAATTTTCCTTTATATAAACGAAACGAATGTGTTAAAAAATAAATTGTGAAGTATTATAAGTGTTTTTATGAAAAATAACATGCTCCGTCACAGCGGACAAATCTTTCGAAACCAACCTGTGAATTAAGCAATGTGACAGTTTCATGTTACTAACTGTAGTCCAAACATATTTTATGCATCATCCATAAATGGTTATGATTTTGTCACTGGTGGTCATGATGACAATAATACATATGTTACAGGTTGAAGAAATTGACATCTTTAATGTAACATCCAGAGAGCCCTATCTCCTTGGTTGTGATTCTGTTATCAGTTGTCTTGGAAACAGAAGCGTGAGTAGGGCTCCAACTAATACATACAGTGAGTCTATGAAAAACATTGTCAAAGCCATGACTGATAGACTGTAAGCCATTCTGTAGAAGTGCTCTAGAAATGCAACCTTCCTTACATGAAAGGTTACACATTCCAACCTATTTCAAACCATCTGTATGATTATACTGGACACTTTCTGGGTAGTTGGACTTTCTATAGGGGTGGCAGACGGCCCTCAGACCAATTAATACCCCTACCCCCAAAAAACCATGGGGGTACTTTAATACCACCCAATAAAAAGAATACTAATGCATGTCAGATATTCATTGTTTTATATTGGGTAGGGCATGTTATGGTTAATAAGTGCCAGAAATTTCCAATCTCTAACTTATATGGTTACCATAGAAACAGTATTTATATCTCGAAATATTCTCAATTTGACCCCCTCCCAAATGTGTCCCTTTGTTCTCTAAGTGAAATATTTCAAAATCTGTTTGGATTTTATGGCTGCTACTTTGTCAAAATTTGTAATATTATGTCTATATTAACACTAAAACACTAAAAAGTTGATATAATGATCCTATAAATCAATAATATTTATCAAATATAGTCACACATAGCTGCTTTCAGGGAAAAGTGGGCGTGGCACTTTTTGGTACTTGTGCGCTTGTTGCAGCATTAAATGAAAAATGCAGATTACCCTAACAATAATTGACATTTAATTAGCATCTACTAATGTTGTGTAACATTGTAATATGTTCATTATCATTATTAGACACTTTAAATATTTTATATAAGTGTTATCCTGACCCTTCCCTATCATAGGTCATCAATGGTCAAATGAACTTTTAGTTTAAGTCTTATAGGGTCCTCGGTCTTTTAAGCCTTTCAAGAGTCAAGTCTTACTTATTCATTGACTTGTTCCTAGAATATGAATGGATAAGTTCAAGTCATCTAGAGCTATTCAAGTCATCTATGCTTGTTCAACAATGTTCAATATTAAGAACCATTTTACCATGTTTACTGCAATTGAAAAGTAATGAACAGTTCAATCCTTTTGGTATGATATTTGATGCTAGTGTGAATTGCATAACATTTATGATTAAATGAACTAATTTAACTCTGGCTATTAACCCTTCCCTGGTATCCTTCACATAACCTCTAAAACATCTTCATATCCATGGCCTAAATGGGGAAGGAGGGAGGGGTTACAAATAGTGACCGAGGATAATTTGAATCAAAGCAAGAAGACATAATACTCAAAACTAGAAAGATTGGAGACCATTTATACCCTTCCTAATATTTTGCCTAATACACAACACTAAAATCTATTTTGTCAGACACTTGCTGATTCTTTTATCAATACCTCAACATCAGGCAATGCATGATCTATCTATCAAATGGATTAAAGATTATACTTGATTCTAATATGGCAAAATTAATTTTTCGTATGAATTGCATAGAGCATCATTTTGCAGTTATAATAAAATGCATTCATTCATTCATTGGCTCATAGTTAACAAAAAAGCTATCCTCTGGAAGGTACAGTATAATTTCTATTAGTATTTAGCAAAATAATTGCAAGATAAACAATTTACACATGTTTCTGATATGCTGTATTTTCAATGATTCCTTCAATAGTGGTTCGGTATATGTTTTTGAAATACTTCATATAATTCCTAAACAAATCGGTTTAGTGTATGAAATCAAAGTGGATACATTTGTCCCATACTTGGATATGTTTCAGATACATATAGCAGGTTTATAAATACTTATATTTTCATCAGCAGGCAGATATAGCTAATGTCCCTGCCTGAGAGGGCAGATAAATTACACCTGCCCACTAAGTCATAATCATCATTTGTGTATGATTAGCAATGAAGGAAGTAGCATACTTAATACATATGTTAATAATCAATGATTCGAGAATATGTGGATGAATACTTAAAAAACAGGAGAATCCTCCTAAGGCCAAGAAAACAAAATTAGTCATGAATACATTCATGTGGTTGTATTCTTTCTAACTCTGGCCAATTGAACAATGTGAACCAGATAAGAGAGATTGATATGGGATAAACAGATAATCCTATAGTCAGTTCATGCTATTAGGATTATCCCTTGGCAAATATAATATATCTTCCCTCAGGACCTAAGGCCTTTGGCCAATAGAAAATATCTTCCCTCGGGACCTACGACCCTCGACCAGATATATTATATTGGCCTCGGGATAATTCCAATACCCCGAACCTCATAGAGGATAATCTCTATTTGTCTTCATCAATTATTATTATACATATAAATCGGGATATAAATATAACCTAAAGTAAGAAATCACATTCTCTAACCAGTAATATTTAATTTTAAAATTGGTGACCATGATTTATTTGAGAATAAAACAGACGAAACAAAGGCTAACAAAAATCTTTAAAAATTTGGGTAAAACATAAATATTTTAAAATTGCTTGTTTTTCATCATTATTACTTCGATCTCCAAACCCCAAAAATTGAGTGTTACAAATTGTTTCAAGTTAAAGTATGCCTAATTTCATGAGCAAATTAGTAATCTTGTTGGATATTTTTTCCTCGACAATGCCTTATCTAATTCATCTATATACAAACTACTAGATTCCAAATGCTATTTTACAGGATGGGTGTTCATGAAAGTAACACTAAACATCAATTTTGTCATAAACTGAACAATGCAGCTAATTGATTCTCCCATCTAAGCAACAGAGCCTCTTTTAATATATTGTAATTTCAAAATTGCCTCTAATGAAGTTCTTCAATCAAATCTAAAATGGATACAACTGGTAATATCTTTATACCATATGAGTAGAATGTTTGTTTCTTTCAAATTCATGCTTTCGTTAGAAACATGGATATCACTAATTCATGGTTTTGATTCATATTTAAAATAGTGTGAATTATATATGAGGTTTAATTAATGGGAAATTTTTAATACAGGGATTAATACAATATATCTGAGGGAAATACAATATACCTCCAAGAGGGGTTGAGGGTAGAATATTGTATTTCCCAAGGGTTATATCTTGTACCCAAAATTATTTATCATATACTAATATACGAAAATATGAGAAATTGCACAGAATGAAATTCCTGCAGGGGATTACTGAGCAGACGATAAACCTGGCGATACATAGAGATTATCCTATATGAGGTTCAGGATATTGGAACTATCCCGAAAGGGCGATTATGACGGAGGGGGCAGATATACTATATCTGCCTGCTCGCAACAGAATGTAAAGCTATATCTGCCCGCTGATGAAAATATAAGTTTTTAAAAACCTGCTTTATGTACCTGAAACACGACCAAGTATGGGATAAAGCGGGATATGCAGTACAGTAAAACCTGTATATCTGAACACCTGGCTAATCCGAACACCTTCCAATTTGAACACTTTTTTTCGGTCCCATTTTTTCCTCCCATTGACTCCCATGTTAAAAGAACCTTGAAATCTGAACACCTCCTAATCTGAACAGTGAACAACCAGATTTGAAAAACTGACCTGTCTAATCTGAACATTTGATCAGAAATAAAATGTCTAGATATTTCAATAATAGCCACATATTGAGTCAATGTTATAGTTCTTATAGTCTTCACATATGCAATGTAATCAAAGAACCAATATTGTCCTAATTAATTTTTTGAAGTCTCAATGACATCCCTAATTGTGGAAAACAACAGGAAAGGTGCGAATACATTTGTTAATTGGTTTATCCTATTAGAAAAGAACTGAATGTTTTATGTTTGGATTAAGAGAAAGGTGTGAATCAAGAAGATAATTGGTTTATCCTTATTTTAAATTAACTGGATGTTTTTGATTTGGATTATGAACAAGTCTTAACTGTTTTATATCCCATGGGTCTGTTATGATAGCTTGGATTCAATCAGTAAATGTTTTATAATCACATAGACAACACAGACACATTTGCAGACAAGATTATAATTGTTGTATCATTATTAGAAATTACCTGGATGTTTTTGAATTGGATTAAGAGAAAGGTGAGAATCTTGGAGATAATTGGTTTATCCTTATTTTAAATTAACTGGATGTTTTTGATTTGGATTATGGACAAGTCTTAACTGTTTTATATCCCATGGGTCTGTTATGATAGCTAGGGTTCAATCAGTAAATGTTTTATAATCACAAAGACAACACAGACACATTTGCAGACAAGATTATATCACGAGAAAGAGAAAAATTCAACTTCGTAATATCCTATCACTAAAATGCCTCCTAAAAAGGCATACATCTGACATCCTGAATGCCCTTGATATTTTGAAAGATTATGCATCACCTCGAATGAGCACTCATGAAAAATTCTTTAGGATATCTACTCAAATATTGCTAATGCTAAAAGTGCCAAGAAACAAACAACAATGAATGACTTTTTCAAGCGAAAGTAAAATTTAATAAGCATAAGATTTTGTACAAGACTATCATATACTTATTCAGTGTATTACAAAGTTTTTGCCAAAATTGAAGAGTTATTTTTCCAAAAATAATGAAATTGTTCAAAATGTAAATAAAACATAGCATATACATGTAGGCTATAGGCCTATTGTAGAATAAACTCATCAACAACATGTATTGTTTTCTGACTAAGTATTAAGTGTTCAATATAGTGGACTGGACAATGAAAATCCCCCCCCCCCCACGACCAACAATATCCTCGAAATGTGAACACCTGCCAATTTGAACGCTTTTGGCTGGTCCCATGGGTGTTCGGATTAGACAGGTTTTACTGTACATGTATATCCCCACTCACCTAAGGTATCAATTATATTCATGCATTTTATTTACCTATAACACTAAGTATAGGATAAATAACTTTTACTGACAAATTATATAAGTGCATGATTACATTAGTCACAACTACTCTCTAAAAGGTTAACTTATTGCATGAAGAAATGTAATTCTTCATGAAGATTTCAAATATGATATCACTTATTTGACTGAATTTTGAATTTTTTATGATGTAAAGCAAGATCATTTCTACTTGCATCTAAGTCTATTTCATTGTATAAGTCAACAATTAATAAGGCAAATACATATCACTGGCTTCCCTGATTCATTTAGATTCCTTGCACTTTTAAAATCATCAATAATTCATATAGGGTTGAACTATTGAATAATGAAAACGTTGCAAATGATGTGATAGAAGTTTTTATACTATTTAGCTTGGAAATATTGCTGATATAGTTTTAATGTGATTTTAGGAGATTAAATGTTCTACTGAGGAACTTTGATTATGTTCAATTTTCTATGATCTTTAACTTAAGGTCGTGCTAAATTCTCATTGAGATGATGTTAAAAATCTTAATGTTGACTTCCTAAATGTTGAATTCTTTTGATTGTCATGAATTTAAGGTTCACACAAAATCTGAAGATCATCTAGTTTCAAACACAATCTGAATCTCACTAAGTTTGATGCGAAAGCAGTTTTACTTTAATCCAAAATAACAAATATGGTAAATTAATATGTGTCTATGGTAGATGCTAGCGTGTAGTCCAACCAGCACAAGTGCTGCCATCTACCTATCCATTCATCAGTTTAGCACCTAATAAGGTCAGTACTCATGGTAAAGCTTTTGAACCTTGTCTATGGTAAAAATAAATCAAACAGAAATGTTAACTTGACACGATTGGTAATGCCCACCTTGAAGGGTGTAGGGATAAAGGGAAGGGTCAGGATAACACTTATATAAAATATTTAAAGTGTCTAATAATGATAATGAACATATTACAATGTTACACAACATAAGTAGATGCTAATTAAATGTCAATTGTTGTTAGTATAATATGTATTTTTCATTTAATGCTGCAACAAGTACACACGTACCAAAAAGTGCCACGCCCACTTTTCCCTGAAAGCAGCTATGTGTGACTATATTTGATAAATATTATTGATTTATAGGATCATTATGAACACTTTTCAGTGTTTAAATGTTAAAATATACATATTGATACAATTTTTGACAAAGTAGCAGCCATAAAATCCAAACAGATTTGCAAATATTTCACTTTGAGAACAAAGGGACACATTTGGGAGGGGGTCAAATTGAGAATATTTCGAGATATAAATACTGTTTCTATGGTAACCATATAAGTTAGAGATTGGAAATTTCTGGCACTAGCTAACCATAACATGCCCTACCCAATATAAAACAATGAATATCTGACATGCATTAGTATTCTTTTTATTGGGTGGTATTAAAGTACCCCCATGGTGTTTTGGGGGTAGGGGTATAAATTGGTCTGAGGGCCGTCTGCCACCCCTATATAAAGTCCAACTACCCAGAAAGTGTCCAGTATAATCATACAGATGGTTTGAAATAGGTTGGAATGTGTAACCTTTCATGTAAGGAAGGAGTTACAATTATCAGAGTGGGCCGTAGTCTATGAGTCTGGTGTAAGAAAACTAGTCACGATGACATCTTGGTATACAGATGGCATTAGTAAGTAATAAGTATTTACCGATTCTAATGCGGAATTGCATACGTCATTTTAAACAGGACTTTAATATTCAATACGAGATTTTGGAATATCAATTTCATTTATTCTATTTGTCACAGGCTGATATCGAAAAATTTGTCCGCTGTGACGGAGCGTGCTATTTTACATAGAAACATTAAGAAACCCACACCATTTTTTTACTCATATGTTCATATGTTTCGCTATACTAAAGAAAATTACTTAATCCATGCAATGGGTATATCATTTGCGGCTAAGAGTGAAAGCTAGTATAGTGAAAACGGCGCAGTAGTATCATACTCTAAAATGTACCATTTCTTTTATTTCTTTTTAATGGTATAATATAGTGACACGATGATATTTACATATATGTTTTTAGCATAACTCTTAAGGTATTCATGAGATCTTGATGTATTGGGTATTCTTAATATTTTTTATAAAAAATAATGTTTAAATTTTTTGTCCGCTCCAAACAGAAAGTAAAGTTACCCGCAAATGATATATCAATTGCATGGAGTAGGTAATCTTCTTCGATATAGCGAAACGTATGAGTAAAAAAATAAATTGTGTGGATCTCCTAGTGTTTCTATTCAAAATAGCATGATCCGTCACAGCGGACAAATTTTTCGATACCAGCCTGTGATTTGTTGGTATTTCCCGGTAAATAGCAAAAGGGAATATAATTGATATTGAAAATCCCTTGTTAAAAACCGTATACACCTAGTCGTCCCCGTATTGAAATCGTATTCACTTTGTCGTCACCTTTTTCATTTAAAAAATCATTTTTTCAGAAAAATGTTCATCTTTCAAAAAAGCATTTTCTCAAAAAGTTAAAAAAAACATTTTCTCGATAGATATATTGTAATCATATTCACTCGGTCTTTCCCGTATTTAATCACTGATTTTTTTATCAATGTATGTACTCGTAAAGTGAAAAATACTGACCAATGCAAGTTAGCTTCCATTCCGAATCTGAAAATTTAGCCAACAACGATTTAATTCTAAATGAGTTTCATAAAAAATACACACTGAAGTTTATCATTTTATAACATATATCATTCATGTTATATATTTAATTGATACAGGTCACTTAATCATTTAATATCATAATATATATATAAAACATTTATTTCATTGTCGGGTAATATGGGTTTTATAACTCGGTCAATATGAGATTTACCCTCGGCCCCTCGGGAAATATCAAAAAATTAGCACTCGTGTATGAAACCAATATATAATCCCTCCCAAAAAGGAACCTCTATTTCACTGGTGATCCACTCGATTACGCTGGTTACCGAAACGGTTCGGTAACAAAATGTCAGAACATCGAAGGTAATACCGATTTTTCTTTTTCCCTTATTTCATAGGCTGTAGGCAGAATTCCCAAGACATTTTTGTCACAAACGTGTATCATATGTTTAAGAAAATGTACATATTTGCGAACAAATAGTTAAGAAGACAACAGAATCGTGGATTTAATTCCTCACTTAGTAAGTTACAGAAACGTTATTTCGAGTTAAGATCTGCACTTTTGAGGAATTAAATCGACAATCTGTTGTCTTCTGAGCTATTTTTTCGCAAACATGTACATTTTCTAAAACATATGATACTGATACACGTTTGTGAGAAAAAAGTCGTGGGGATTCTGCCTACAACCTGTGAAGTAAGGGAAAAAGAAAAATTGAACAATCATGAGCACGTGCTCTCTCAGGGCTGCGCATGCGCAAAGTAAAATTTGAAATCATGGAAATGGCGCCATCAGTTCAATGGGACAGCTTCTTTTCCATTCAATCGAGGTTGGGCCATTCAATCGAGGTTGGGCCATGCAGCCGAAGGTAAGCCATACAACCGAATTTTGCCGATTCAATATGACGGAGAATTCCGAGCCTCTCTTTATGACCAATCAAAGACGTCCTCTTCACATTCGTGGTACCCTCGGCCGACTTTGTTTGCAAAGAAAATCTTCGGCAGTATCCGGCTTTTCTTGAGGTTTCTTCGGTTGCAAGCCAAAAGTCGACACCCTCAGTTCAATATCATCATTTTAAACCTACGGTAATACTATTGAAGTTACTCGGTCCAAACTTGTAGAGAATACTCATAAAACTACAGCGAACATTGGGAGATTCAGTTCAATGGCAAATGAGGCCTGGTTATAAATTTTTTTTCGAACTTGCTAATATGAGAGGTCATCTTTGGGTAATCTCCCCCCCCCCTGTACCGAAACGAACCGTTCCGGTAATCAGCGTAATCGAGCGGATCACCAGTTTATTTAGTCTCAATTGAATGTTGTGAAACATACATTAAATAAACGTTAATTTCAGAACCTCCTGGGCTTGATTCAGGAATAAGTGGGATGATGTTAGATAAATTTCTGTTGATGTTAAAACCCACTTTGGAAGATATGACCCATATGGAGACATATTTAAAAAGCCTAACGTCGACCATCAAGTGGACGTGTATCAAGCCACCTGGTCTGACAAACAAGCCCGCAACGGGTAAGTTGTGTGTGTGTGTGTGCATATATATAATACTGAAGGTATTTTGATGGTGGAATTCTAGATAAGATCTAAATAAACACAATTTAGGGTTGTCCATGATCAAAATTTGAAACAATACCCTTTCAATCAAGATCTCTAACCAACGTTGATTGAGATATTGATGTTTTTCAGGTTAGACAATAAAGATATCAGGAGGACAGTACCTGTACATAGAGGAGTCCCACATTTAAATGTCCAGAGAGGATGTTTTATTCAGGATTAGAGTTAGAAACAATGCCCCTTTAATCATGATAATTATTTTTTCAGGTCAAGAAATAAAGACAGCAGAAGGACAGTACGTAGAGGGGTGCCAGATGCAAATATCCAGAGAGGATGTTGCAAAATTCATGCTGAAAATTGCAACGATAGATGATGAACTGTTCTCAGATCAGACAGTGGCAATAGGAATTGAGGAAATCAAATAAAAATGATATCAATATGGGAATTTTGGACCTTGATTCCCCTCATACACTTGTTTTTTGCTTTTAAACATCTAAACCGGTTATTCAATATTTATGTCAATTTCATTGTTCATATCAATTTCAATGTTTATGCTTATAAGATGTTTATGTCAATTTCAATGTTAATGTCAATAAAATGTCTACAGAGTGGGCCAAAAAACGTCCACATATTATTTTTGTTATATCTTTCCTGATATGCTAGAAATATCCATAAACTACAGGGTGGGCCAAAAAAACAATACCCAACTTAAAATCAGAATGAAAATCGCTATGTTAAATGTGATACTTTGATTTATATATCATTTTAAAGGTAATCCATTTTCGAACAATTTGGTATATAACACTACGTCATCAAATCAATAATAAAGTTTTATTATGCTTATTTGGGAGGCCGAGTCGGTATTTAAGGTATCCGGATTTTAGGGAGAAAATAGTAAATTTGCGGAATAATGTTCATTTTTTATTTATAGAATATCATTTTGTTAGGCGAATACATGCTTGTATATTTGCATATTGCGTGACTAAACTTTTTGTTTATGAATTTTAGTGTTGTTTATTATCAATAAGTACTCAAAGGGGGTCTGTTAAACGACATTAAACGTATATGTGACGAGGTTTATTTTCCAACAAGACATTGCCTCGTACCATAGATCAAAGAAGACATTGGCATTTCTTTGCAAACAAGGTGTCAATTTGATTGATCTTGATGCTTTGCCACCCAACAGCCCCGATGCTAATGTGTTTGATTACCATATATGGAGCCATCTCGAGGAAATGGTACAATTTTTTTAGATTTAAGATATTTTATTTCTGTGTCACAGGTTTAAAAACTACATTCAATATCATATAATAAATACCTCTTTTTTTTAAATCACCAGCCGGCATCGGCTTAGGAGACACCATTAAATGTATATCTAATTGTAATTGAATGTTGACTAGAGTAAGTTGACTTAATAGAGAGCACTCTTAGATAGAGTAGTATTCAAGTGCTGCCATCTTTAAATGCTTTGACAAATATTTTCTATTAATGGCCATTATCACAATAAATGAATATGCATGCATAAATAAACTGTATTGATACAATCAAAAGCAATCAAAAGCATCTAATAAACAGCATTGATGAGCTGAAACAGAATCCTAAAGTGCTGTAATGAATTGTAACAGAAAGCTGTCAATAAAGCTATTGATAGATTGCGCTACAACTTGAAGCTTATTCTTGATGCAGAGGGGAGGGGGTGGGGGTATATTGAGCAATTGTTAAAATTGTTAAAATAAATAAATTGTAAAATGTTATTAAACTACACTGAAATTCATAAACAATAAATTTCCGCAGATTTACTATTTTTTCCCTCAAATCTGGAGACCTTAAATAGCAACCCGCCTCCCAAATAAGTATAATAAAACTTTACTATTGATTTCATGACATAGTGTTATATACCAAATTGTTTGAAATTGTATAACCTTTAAAATGATATGTAAGTCAATGTACCATATTGCATGTTACCATTTTTATCCTCATTTGAAGTTGGGTATTGGTTTTTTTGGCCCACCCTGTATATATAGTAATTAGACAGATAATGACCAAACGCGGTAGATTTGTGTGCTTTGTGTCTGATGATTGCTATATAATATGTCAAGCACACTTACACCCCAGTCACATTTGTCGCACGGCGGCCGCAAGTCGACCGCAGATCAATTAAATCGGTGAATTTCTGCGGCGAGCGTAGAAAAACTACGGTCGCCTTGCGGCCTCCGTGCGGCGAATGCAGATTTTTACAGGCCGCAGGGAAGGCGTAGAAATGATAACTCGGAGTTATAATATTTGTTCATTTCTGAGGTCCCCGTAGAAATCAACTGTCTCGCCAAGATTGAATCATTATTTGTCAATGTTTCACGATCACTTTTCATTTGATATTACATCCTAGCACTTTGAATAACATTTATAAATTGTCCTGATGTAAATAAAATGAAAAAAACTATTATTTATCAATATTAATTTAAAATTCACCGTGCGGCTGCCGTGGGAAATGTGACTGCAAAAGCATGAGAGCGCAGAAATTCTGCGGCGAGCGTAGAAAAGCTACTGGCCGCAGAAATGATAGACCGCAAGGTCGCCGTAGGAAATGTGACTGGGGTGTCAATGATATCGTCCGGCCCTATCGGTGTGTCCCTTCAGTAAACCCCGAAAGTAGATACAGGCATCCTTCAAGATTAGGCTTCGCTTTTGTCGCTGGTATGTATGTGAAGAATTGAAATACCCGTGAGATAGCGTAATATAAGTAGCACTATTCAATTGTAATTTCTTTCTTTTTTAGAGGTCAAGGAATAAAAACATCAAACCAACAATATTATCTAAAAGAAAACAAAAAAAATTCTAGTTTTAAAAGGAATGTTAAAAAACACCTCCGAGACAAAGATTTACCATTACCTACATCAAAGCTAGAATTATCACGAAAGAGTGAAATCCTTCTAAATCGCATTAGATGTGATTTTATTTTTACACCCCAGTCACATTTCCCACGGCCGCCGTGCGGTCTATCATTTCTGCGGCCAGTAGCTTTTCTACGCTCGCCGTAGAATTTCTACGCTCTCATACTTTTGCAGTCACATTTCCCACGGCAGCCGCACGGTGAATTTTAAATTTCTGTTAATAACACCCCAGTCACATTTCCTACGGCGACCTTGCGGTCAATCATTTCTGCGGCCATGTAATGTTGTTATTATCTTGTTTTATACTACCTTGTCGCACCTATCTTGGGTTCTGGACGTTATGACGAGGGGCCCCTTTGATGCTCTCGCTGGGTCCGACAGTTGTCGATTATTTCGGTCTCTTATTTGGTTCTTGGATCATTTGTACAATGTTATGTTCTTATTTCTTATTTTATATCTTCACATAATATGTACATGTGGATGCTTTGACTTCTCTTTGTGAACTGACTGTTCTTTTCAAATTCATAATTGGCTTCTCTGATTGCACTTCTCATACTTTTGCAGTCACATTTCCCACGGCAGCCGCACGGTGAATTTAAAATTTCTGTTGATATATAATACTTTTTTCATTTTATTTACATCGGGACAATTTATAAATGTTATTCATAGTGCTAGGATGTATCAAATGAAAAGTGATCGTAAAACATTGACAAATAATAATTCAATCTCGTTGAGCCAGTTGATTTCTACGGGGACCTCAGGAATGAACAAATATTATAACTCCGCGTTAAAATTTCTACGGCGACCCTGCGGCCTGTAAAAAACTGGATACGCCGTACGGAGGCCGCAAGGCGAGCGTAGTTTTCCTACGCTCGCAGCAGAAATTCACTGATTAACACCCCAGTCACATTTCCTGCGGCCGCCGTGCGGCCTATCATTTCTGCGACCAGTAACATTTCTACGCTCGCCGTGGAATTTCTGCGCTCTCATACTTTTGCAGTCACATTTCCCACGGCAGCCGCACGGTGAATTTAAAATTTCTGTTGATAAATAATACTTTTTTCATTTTATTTACGTCGGGACAATTTATAAATGTTATCCATAGTGCTAGGATGTAATATCAAATGAAAAGTGATCGTGAAACATTGAAAAATAATGATTCAATCTTGTTGAGCCAGTTGATTTCTACGGGGACCTCAGAATTAATGAACAAAAATTATAACTCCGAGTTATAATTTCTACGCCTTCCCTGCGGCCTGTAAAAATCTGCATTCGCCGTACGGAGGCCGTAAGGCGAGCGTAGTTTTTCTACGCTCGCCGCAGAAATTCACCGATTTAATTGATCTGCGGTCGACTTGCGGCCGCCGTGCGACAAATGTGACTGGGGTGTTAATTGATCTGCGGTCGACGCACGGCCTCAGTACGACAGATGTATTTGTCGCACGGCGGCCGCAAGTCGACCGCAGAACAATTAAATCGGCAAATTTCTGCGGCGAGCGTAGAAAAACTACGCTCGCCTTGCGGCCTCCGTACGGCGTATGCAGATTTTTACAGGCCGCAGGGAAGGCGTAGAAATTATAACTCGGAGTTATAATATTTGTTCATTTCTGAGGTCCCCGTAGAAATCAACTGATTGAATCATTATTTGTCAATGTTTCACGATCACTTTTCATTTGATATTACATCCTAGCATTTTGAATAACATTTATAAATTGTCCTGATGTAAATAAAATGAAAAACTATCATTTATCAATAGAAATTTAAAATTCACCGTGCGGCTGCCGTGGGAAATGTGACTGCAAAAGTATGAGAGCGCAGAAATTCTGCGGCGAGCGTAGAAAAGCTACTGGCCGCAGAAATGATAGACCGCAAGGTCGCCGTAGGAAAAGTGACTGGGGTGTTAGGCCCTGTTTATGCTGTATATTAATATTGCTTAAATAAAGGAACCATAAAAACAAAAAACTAAACTAAACTAACAATATTTTGAATATTGCTAAATTCAAACATTACCCAATATGGATGTCACAAAATTTCTGAATAGAATATGATGGTCACAGATAGAAGTTATCGGTAAATCTTTGTTCAGTATAGTGTTGTTATATAATATGCGCTTAATTGGTGCCTTGTTTCAGAGTGATGGCACCGATTCTTGGACCACTGATCCACGGAAAGTAAGTCACCCCCCCCCCAAACATTCTCTTATATAGGCTACAGAATATAAGAGGGAGGGGTGACTTACTCCCCATGCCCTGATCATGCGATAATGTGACAAAATCCTATCATCACCCGGGAACCATCGAAATCGTAATTTTAAAACTGCTATCTGAATCTAAAAGAGCATAAAAGAGGGCAGGCATATGTTTTGATAGAGTTAAGGGCTTCACATCATTTTCGGTAAATAGAGCTAAATCTGGCAGGAAACGTCATGGCGGATTAGCTGTACTTATAAGAAATACATATATAGCAGGAACGACAATAATCAAAACGAAGACACCAGATATCCTGTGGGTTAAACTTTCAAAAAAGTTCTTTAATACAAGTAATGACATGTACTTATGTATAACGTATTTTTCACCTGCAAACTATAACCCAAAAGGTAAATTCAACTC